TACTCCTGCTTTACATAAGGGTTTCCAAAATTCAGCTATTTGATTGTAAGTTCTTCCTCTTTAGGAGAAGATCCTCACAATTTCATCCCTGCCTGCTTTTCCTTTGCGTTAATTTATTTGTGGTAACTCCATCAATCTGCTGGGAATATAAATCACTTGTGAGGGGCAGTGGGTGCTTGGTAAATGAGTGCCCAGGTGGTAACAAACTTTTCCACTCCCACATGTGACATCCTGGCTGCCTCCTGTGAATCCCAAGAGGGCCAAACCCCTTCCTTCTTCCCTCCTGTTCCTTGTAGGGGTTGTGGATATTCCCTTTCACTTGAGGGAAGGCAAAAAGTCTGGAGGAATATTTGATGCTCTGGAGCAAACTGGGGGGATTTGTCTCTGGAGCTGAATTACTGGAACTTGCACAGAATGTGTTAGGAATCCTGTGTAAGTATGTCCATCAGGGCTTTATTTTCCTTGGGATGCTTGTTTGGGGCTCTCTTTAGGGAAAACATTTGTAGCTATTGTTACAATATTTAAATTGCAATTCCTTGGAAACAATCTGGCATCTCACCAAGTTTTCCTGGGGCTTTTTTTCCTGATGTTAAAGTGCTCAGAGAAGGTGAGCAAAGGGCTGAGGAGCTTCCCCTGATGAAGGATGACTGCAGGGGGCCTGAGGAGCTGGGACTGTCAAACCAGCCCCAGAAGACTGAGACTTGCAGGGGGTTTCTGTGTCTCGCCACTGCTGCTCCTCCCCCAGGGTAAGTGCAAACAGCATCTTTCCTAAACACAGCCCCAGCTGTGTGACACTGAAATGTGGGCTCTGAACTCCGTGGAACTCTCAGTGGGAATGTTACCTCTGGGATGGACACAGGCTCAAAGAGCTGCGGGGGGTTCACCTGGAGAAGAGAAGGCTCCAGGGACACCCAAGAGTCCCTTCCAGGGGCTAAAGGGGCTCCAGGAGAGCTGGAGAGGGGCTTTGGCACAGGACAAGGGGTAATGGCTTCCCACTGCCAGAGGGCAGGGTTAGATGGGATACAGGGAAGGAATTCTTGGCTGTGAGAGTGGTGAGACTCCGGCACAGATTGCCCAGAGGAGCTGTGGCTGCCCCATCCCTGGAAGTGTTTCCCTGCCTCTCTCCCCTGTGTTGGAGCACCAAGGCTTTGCTTCCCTGGGCTCTGACTGACTGTTTAGGGGTCCTTGATCTTCCTCAAAAAATTTCTAATTTTGTGCAATAATACAGTTCCTTAATCTGCTGCGTTGCTATTTTTTGTTCTCATTCCCATCTGTGATCACACACTTCTGCTTTCCAGTGCCAAATTTGTGAGGCACACGAACCATTTATTCACTTGCTCTGTCTGTTGCTCAACTGTGTAAAGTTGGTGTTTCAATAATTAATTACCAATTTGAGAGGTAACAAAAGTTAACAAAGAAGAGCGAGAGAGAATCCAGACTCTCATTTTTGCTTTGTGTACATAAACTGTATTAGTGCTTTGTTTCAAATGAATGAATTTGTGAACGTAACGGAACAGGGAACAGGGCTGCAAAGCAATTTCCTGAAAATCTCAGCTTGAAGTTCTAAATTAACAAATTTTGTTCCTCTTTTCTGTTGGTTGAATCATAAAAAAAACCCCTAAACTTTCTTGGAATAGAAAGTGAAAACGTTCCTGTTGCATATGCAACATTGGTGCAAACTGGGCTGTAAAATATTCCGTGTGGACACTTGTGCTGGTGGTGCTTGGAATGGAAACGGGCAGAGCTCCCTTTCCTTTGCTGCCCAGGCACTGCTCCAGCCCAGCCATTAAACATCAGGGACAGGTCACTGCTCACAGGCAAAGCCATGGCACTGGAAGGGCTTCGGGACAGATTTATTGAATATTCTTATATAACAAACACACCCCAGGAAATGGCCACCTGCTCATGTTTATTCCACAAGGAGAAACCAAAGGCTGCATCCAGCAGGACTTCAAGGAAAGCACAGACATCCAGTGGTGTGTGTGGGACCAGAGTGGGTGTCCAGAGAGCAGCTCGTAAGTGGAGACTGATCTCCACACTGAGCTGAAATCCATGGATTAAATATCCATGATATCACTGGAAGGAGGCGTGAAGTGCTTGCTCCACTGAGGAGAGAGTGTGTGCAAAGAGAAAGCCTTATTCTTTTGATTTGTTCTTATTGATGTTGCATTTACTCAATGTAATTTCCTTCAAATTCTCACTAAACCCAGATTTTTGAGAGAAATCACTGATGTTACATTAAACCCCCCTCCTGCCTGGGCTCTGGGGGGTTCACCCCCCTCACTGCAGCATGAAGTTACTTCTCAGTGTCTTCATGGCCTGTGAGGTGCTGAGAAAACCCCCTGTTGCAGCTTTGGATTTTCAGGGTTTTTCCGTTCCTGCTGCCCAGAATAGCTGTGGTTGTGATCCTGCCCAGGAAGGGAAGTGGGCTGAGGGGCGTGGAGGCTTTTCGGGTAAACTGGAAAAAAGGTTTACTTCTGAAATAAGAAAAAAAAAATATGGTAACACTGAAACATCAGCTGGGTGCTCCCAAACATCATCTAGTGGATCCCTAAACTAATTAATAGAGTTCAGCAAGGCCCACTGAAGGGTTTCCCAGGGAAAGCCAAGAGCTTCCACAGGGATAATCCACAGTGTTACCTGTGGGGCTGCCTGTGGGCAGGAATGAGTGTTCCCTGGGGGAAAAAGATGCAGAAATGTAACGTTTTTATTGCAGGAGCCTGAATTTGGTCACTGATCCCATGTCACACAATACTCTGTTCTCCTCCCAGTCCTCCTCATTCCACCAGGTGCCTGTCAGTACAGTTGTGGGATCAGAATCCAGCCTGGAAACCCTAAAATGTGGGAAAGAGCATTACATTAGGGAAAAAATGAAAGCCTGTCCATAAACACTGGATCAAATGGTGCTCACATGAAAAAGTGGTTCAATAATGTCAATAACCACTACAAGAGGAACATTTGTATTTTGTTATCATAGAACTTTGGGAAAACATTTTGTCCTTGGCTTTTGGTTTATTCATAGCTAGTGTGTGTAATGGACAGGGGGAAAAATAAGGATTTAAGGGAATCCAGAAGGTTATTTGGATAGAACTTCAGGGTAAAATGATGCAAAAGGGAATAAAATGAGCATACTTTAATATTATCCTCTCTGCTGATCTTCCTCAGGTACTGTCCCAACTCTGTTTTTTTCTGGTTCCATTATCAAACAAATATTTATTCTACACACAAAACCATTTTCCAGAGCCCTGTCGAGCTCCCCTCTGTGGGTTTTTTTCCCTCCAAGATCCAAAGGTTTCATTTTTGGCTTAAGGGGAAGATAGGTGAATATTAATTTTCTTGCTTTTTTTCCCAAGAACAGCAAAAAAAAAAGATTGTTTGGGGGTGGAGGGGAGTGGGAGGTTCTCAGAACTTTTTCCATGCCACCAAATGGAACAAGTCCTCAAACTCTTAAATTTAGCACCAAATATTTCAGCGGAAAGAGGAAATATGATGGCTTGGGATGTGAGCCCAGGCTCAGAGCTTCCGCTGCTCTGGCTGAGTAATGTCTTAATTACTTCTTAATTGCTGTTAAGAGCACTGTGTTCTCACTCCTTCACAGTAACAAGTGATCCCTTCTGAGATATTGGGAAGAGATTCTTCCCTGTGAGGGTGGGGAGGCCCTGGCACAGGTTGCTCAGAGAAGCTGTAGCTGCCCCTGAATCCCTGGAAGTGTCCAAGGCCAGGTTGGATGGGGCTTGGAGCAGTCTGGGCTAGTGGAAGGTGTCCCTGCCCATGGCAGGGGGTGGGACTGGATGGGCTTTAAGGTCCCTTCCCACCCAAACCATTCTGTGATTCTGTGAATTCAAATTGACCACGATAAAGTAGAAAGAGGTCACTCCTGGAGGGTATCTTTGCATCTCCCCTGTCTTCCAAAATTTATCCTCCTCTTGCTTCACAACTGGCATCAGGAACAGGGAGCTCCTGTGCTGCTGAGGCCCAGGAGCTGTGTTGGGGTGACGCTGGGCTGTGACTCCCACACGGAACTGGGTCACCAGCCTGTTTCTGGCAGCTCAATTTTGGTGTCATTTGGGTGGCTGAAGGGAACAAATAGGCCATCGATCCGTCTGGGCACAGCCCCGGGCCCCTGTTTTAATTGCGTGTGTTCTCTGCACTAAATTTATCCCTCTTGAAACATCATCAACCTAAAAGGAACTTCACAGCAGAGGAATTTGACCCCATATGGTGGGTTTTTTTTCCTCTGTGTTATTAAAATCTGTTAAACTCTGTTGCAAATAATTTTATTTTTCTGTCTCTCCAACTATTCTATGCAGCTTGGTTTTTTATGCCATTTTCAAATGGTGAAGAGAGATGAAGAGAACTTTTCCTGTAAATCCTTCTTATAGGAAGAAGCTTTAAGCAATCGTTGAATATTATTTGTCTCACACAGGTGACTTCCACCTACACAGGTGACCTCCATCCCTGCAACTCTGTGTTTAGCACAACAAACTGGGTGGATTGCATGATTTACTGACGAAAACTGATTATCGGAAATGTTGCTGTACCGTGTTTTCTCTGCAGAAATCCAAGGAAGCCCATGGTGAGATGGAGCTGTTTCTGGATGGGGCTTTTTTATGGGACGCGTTCTGTCAGGTCTGGCTGCTCTGACAGTGAAGATTAATTTTTTTCCCCTCCAAGAAGGGTTTTTGAGAGACTGGGAGCCAAAAATGCCCAGAGTTAGGACTAACATGCCCCTCATGCAGTTGGTCTTAGGGTTCACGAGGCTTTCCTTCAAGGAAGTATCCACAGGGGGAGCCTCTATTTGGCCATGTTGTTCCAAAGGGTGCGAATCTCCAGTGGGATCTCCCAGCTGGAAGCTGATGGACCAGGGAGGGGAGTCTGGGAGGTGGAGCATTTGCTCCTCCCTTTGCAGCCACCCACAGGGTGCGTGTGTGTCCAGCAGCATTCCCAACTACTCACCCGCTGGAGCCACCAACTGGGAGCAGCCAGAGGCTCCCAGGGAGATGGAGGAGCAGGGAGCAGCCGCTGTCCTGGCTGGGTCCTTGCTCTCCTGCCTTCTCCAGGCCCCCGAGGTGGGAGCCCTGCAGGAGCCGCTGCTGGAGGATGTGACCCTGGAGAACATCAGCTGGGCAGCTGAGGAGGCCCCGGGAAATGAGTCCTCAGAGCACACGTTCTTCTCCCTGGATTATCAGCACGTCCAGGTGCCCTTCGAGATCACCCTCTGGATCATGTTGGCATCCCTGGCCAAGATAGGTGAGGGCTGGACAGGGGGAGCAGGGATGGGATGGGGTGGGAAGGGGTGGCCTTGACTTCAGATCCTCTCCAACCTTGGAGCCTGAAACAATGTGTCCAGCCCATTAATGGGAAGTATTAATACTGTGTTTTGTATGTATAATTCTATCTATAACACTCTATAATTTTATATATTATATTATAGATTATTATATATTATATAATTCTATCGATAATATTTTATGTAATATATAATCTATTATATAATATTTTATATTTACAAAAAAATTTTAATATATATTATGTATACTGCTGTGTACATTACTGTACACATTATTTACTGTAATTAATTATTAATTATACAATAATATAATTATATAAATTATCTATTATAATACTACTATAATTCAATAATATAAATAAAATAATACATAGAAATAATATTACTAATATTACAATATATAATATAAAATGTATATTATATATTATCTATTATATATTTTTGTTATTTTTATATATTCATACAGTTATATTACATATATATGCATATATATGTATATATTTATATATATACACACATATATTTTTATATATATGTTATATATATATATATAATATATTCTTCATAGACCCATGTATTATATTATGTTTTTTATATATATTTCTGAGCGACTTCACCTTCACTGGGTACATTTATTTCTGCTGCTCCAAGCTGTAATTTGCTGATGGTGGGAGAACGGGGAACTCCCTGACCCAACGAGGTGAGACAACCCAATTTTTCTCTCTCCATCCCCTCCCAGGGTTCCATCTCTACAACAAGCTGCCTTCCGTGGTTCCCGAGAGCTGCTTGTTGATCTTCGTCGGGCTCATCATGGGGGGGATCATCTACGGCCTGAACGACAGGTCCCCCCCGGTGATGGACAGCGACATCTTCTTCCTCTACCTGCTGCCCCCCATCGTGCTGGACGCCGGGTACTTCATGCCCAGCCGCCCCTTCTTCGAGAACATCGGCACCATCCTGCTCTACGCCGTGGTGGGCACGATATGGAACGTGTTTGGGATCGGCTTCTCCCTCTATGGCATCTGCCAGGTGAGGGCCTTCCGGCTGCAGGATGTGTCGCTGCTCCACAACCTGCTCTTCGGGAGCCTCATCGCCGCCGTGGACCCCGTGGCCGTGCTGGCCGTGTTCGAGGAGATCCACGTCAACGAGAAGCTGCACATCCTGGTCTTTGGGGAGTCCCTCCTCAACGACGCTGTGACAGTGGTGAGGACCAGCCCGGTTTGGGGTGTTTAGCAGTCCTTTAATGTTTAAAGGAAGGGTGGGCTTGGGCCCGAGGGGTGGGGTGTGAGATCTCAGCCTGGAGAAAAGGAGGCTCAGGGGGGACCTTCTGTCTCTCTGCAATTCCCTGACAGGAGGGGGGAGACAGGGGAGGTGGGCTCTGCTCCCAGGGAACAAGGGCCAGGACAAGAGGAAACAGCCTTGAGCTGCGCCAGGAGAGGTTTAGATTGGATATCAGGGAAAATTTCTTCATGGAAAGAGTGGTCAAGCATAGGAACAGGCTGTTCTGGGCAGTGGTGCAGTCACCATCCCTGAAAGTGTTCAAAAACTGTGTGGATGTGGCACTTGATTAAATAGTTTAGTGGTGAACATGGTGGTGGTGCTGGTTGATGGTTGGACTTGGTGATCTTGGAGGTTTTTTCCAACCTTAAGGATTTTCTGATTTGCTGAGGGAAAAGACATCAACAGCCTCTTCTAGCAGAGGGCTCCAGGTCCAATTCCCTGTCCTGAGGTCCTGAGCAGCTTTCAGGTGAACACAGAAGCTTTCAGGTGAAGAGCTCTTTGTGTGTCTGGGGACAGGAACGCCCAGGAGTGCTATAGCAGGCTCCTGGTAGGACCCAGACCTCAGGGAAGGATGGTGACCCTGCACTGTCAGAAATCCCAGCAGTGTGTTTGGTGTCATGACCACGTGTGGCCACGTCTGGTGAACGTCTCACTAACACCCGTTTCTCTCTTTCATTCCCCCCCCCAAAGGTGCTCTACAAGCTCTTCCGGTCTTTCTGTGAGATGCCAACCATCAAAAGCGTGGATGTTTTTGCAGGAGTTGGGAAATTCTTTGTGGTTGGGCTGGGAGGGGTGTTGGTGGGGCTGAGTTTTGGGTTCACGGCCGCCTTCACCACGCGCTTCACCAAGGACATCCGCGTCATCGAGCCGCTCTTCGTCTTCCTCTACAGCTACCTGTCCTACCTCACCGCCGAGATGTTCCATCTCTCAGGAATTGTGGCGTGAGTTCCCGTCCAGGAAAAAAAATCTGTCCTGTCTGAAAATGTCCTTTCCCTGGCTGAAAAAATATCAGACAAAGTTTTCAACTCTGCTGAGTTCGAAATCTGTGTGTGCCGGCCATCGAAGCCCGTGGCAGAGCCCTCTCCAAGTGCAGCTCCATTTCCCAAATTACACGTCAAATTGCAAGTCACCAGCAATCCTGCTGGTGGATTTATGTAGGTTATTGAGGAATGTTTGTTTGAGCTCCATGGTTTTTGTCTGGAAAGCCTGGATGTTCAAGCAGTGAGAGTTTGAGTAGGTTTGGCAGAGCCAGAAGAGGCTTTCTTGGCTTCTTTAGTTATTTTCCGTGTGGCCCAGTCAAAACCAACATGGGAAGGGTTACAAGGGTTTAGTCAGATCCTTGGAAAGGTTTGGTCCTGTTTTACAGCACGTCTGCTCTCACATCCCCCTCCCCATCTGCACGTCCTGCCATCAGCACACCCTGGGTGGTGCTCCCAGAGGGTGCACAGCCCCTGCGGGCACAGAGCAGAGAGGGATGGGGTGGGAGCTGTGCATTCCCTATGGAGCTGAAGCCTGAAATATTCCTGCTCTTTGGGACCAGAGGGCTCTAATGGAAACTTCTGACTTGGCACCAGAAGCTCAGACACAGCTCATGGATCTGTCTGGGCTCCTGAGGGTCTCATCCAGCACCTCCCTGTCTCCAGTAATGTTGGAAATCTGACCAATTTCAGTCAAAGTTGTCAGAGATCACTCAATTAATTTATTTTTCTTTTTACTGGGTAGATCTTTCCATAAAATGAAGGATTTGGGGCCAGATCCTTCAGTTTTAAGAAACTACCTTTGTGCTTATCTTGTCATGCATTTCCCTGGTAGAGCAGGTGCTGAGATAAAAATTAGATATAATGACCCTAATGTTCACCAAAATCTCACCTCAGGAAGCAGAGAGAGATGAAAACCAGAGTGATCCAGCCCTCCTGGTTTCTGTAGGCTGAAATCTGTTGTGTTTGGTTCTCCCACCAAAACTGAGTCAGCTGGTGCTGAGGATCACAACCACCCCAAAGACTCTGAGCCTGCATCAGTAGCTGCAGTGTAAACAACTGTGCAGCTGAGAATAATGAAGATGAAAAGAAAATAATAAAATGAAGTGGGTTCTGAGCTCGGCACAGGAGGATCTGGGAGATCTATTTTAAAACTAATGATGTTGCTTTGGATATAAACCATTCCCGTGTCTTGCAGATTTTGTTTCCTCAGCTGGTTAATAGGAGCAATATTCGAGTGTTCCTGCAAACAATTCTAGCTCTGGGAATAGGTAGGAAAAGCCTATTTATAGGAGTGCAAGACAGAACAGTGAAATAAATATGCTGCATAATCATCGTGGAGCAGAAAACATTCAATCCTAATGGTGTCTCCTTCCATCAATCACAATCTGCTGTACCCATTATGGAACCCATTTGCTGTTCTTTTGAATAATGCATTTTTTCTAAAGCCAAACAATGGCAAAGGCAGCTGATTCCTGCCCTGTGCCCTTCTAATTGCCAAATTAGAAATGCCTCTCTTACATATCTGGAGTTCAAACAATTTGTCCCGTCGTGCCCGGGGAATACTGGATTATAAAAACCAGCTTTTGGCACTTTGTTTCACTGGAAAATAATTTGATTACCAAAAAAATCAATTCTGCATAGCCCAAAAAATATGAAAACTGTGAATGCAACCCAGTCTGGGAAACAGCTCTGCAAATGGGTTTTAGTTTGATTTTGTTTTTTTTCCTTTCTTTTTCCCTTTTTTTCCCTTGCCCTGGTGGCAATGTCCATCTTTGAGGCCCTGACAGATCAAGTTTATTCCCTCTCTGTGTCCCTGCTGTGACCCCATATCCATTCTCCAATAGGCATTCCCAAACCACAGCTCTGGAAGTCACTTGCCCATAAATACTTGTTGGATTTCTTAGCTTCTGGCTGGAACTGTTTTACCCACTATTTATTGAACCAGATACAGAAACTGAAGAATTTATTGGGTTTTTTTAGACTGTGGTTCAATCCCTGCTGCTCTTTCTGGCAAAGAGGGTCAGTCTAAATAGGATAAATCAAAACAGACCAGTTTTGGAATGTCTTTAAGTATTTGTACATTTTCTTAGGAGGTGAAAGATGTGAATTCAAACAACATTTGGTGAAAAAGGGATTTGAATCCTTGTCTCATGCTCAGGATCTCTTTCTACAGCAAAAGCATCACAACTTTACCATTTTTAATGCAATAAAAATGTGGATGCCTTACAAAATAGCCATGGAAATCAGATCTTGGAAATTTAGAGCCATTTTGTTATTGCTGCTACAATGTTTAGAATGAAATATTTTAGTCCAGGTTAAAATATATTAAAATGGAGCTTCAATGCTTCGAGCGCTCGATTGTTTTGACCTTCTAAGATTGCTGGCCTGAAAATGTATTGATTTGGAAAGCTGATGAATTAGACTAACCACATGTTCCCTGCAACTTGAAGAACCAATTATCCATGAAAAATTACGAGGCAATTGCAAGGTCAGAGTTTGGCAAAGTGAAAGAACCGAGACCAGTGTGTGGTGATGGGAAGGGTTGGGTGTCGTTACTTGTGGGTGTTGGTGTGTGCTCTGATCAAATGCAGCAGGTGATGAGGTTTTTATCTGTTCAAAACCAGATTCAGACAGTTTAGGCAACCTGTAAAGTATTTTATTTTCCTGGTGGTCCTCTTGATGTCCTTCATCTAGGAAGTGAGATGTCTGCAAACATCCAGGACTTGATAAAACGTATTTTTTTCATAAATGACAATGAGTTGATTTTCAGTGCTTAAGGAGAAAAAGTTATTGTTTGTTTTAACTTTCTCAGCATTATTGCCTGTGCCATGGGCATGAAGCGTTATGTGGAGGCCAACATCTCCCTGAAGTCCCACACCACAGTGAAATACTTCATGAAGATGTGGAGCAGCGTCAGCGACACCCTCATCTTCATCTTCCTTGGAGTTTCCACCATTGGAGAAAACCATGAGTGGAACTGGCCCTACATCTGCTTCACTGTCATTTTCTGCCTCGTTTGGAGAGCTCTAGGTAGGGCTAATTATGCATTTTATTTTTTAATGTGTATTATTGTTTATGAGAGTGAAAAATGTGGTTTAATTAAATAAGAAAATGCTCCTGCCCCTCCATCATCCTTTCCTGTTTGCTGTGCATGCGTGACTATCCCAGATGGGAATGCAAGACCTGAACTGGGACATCTCAGGCAATGCTTCCCTCATCCATCCTACTCAATTCCAAGTCTTTCATTGTACTGCAGTTTCCTGCTCTGGGCACTCACTGGTGTTAAATAGAAGTGCTCGTGACATTTTATCAATATCTGTCTTTGATCCCTCTTCCATTGCCGTGATCTCCTCTTCCATTTCAGTGCCTCTTTGGTCCCTTGTTATCCTCACAACAGGAGGGAAATTGCAGGTACTTTGGGATCAGAGATACGTGTTGTATTCTGCAAGGCAGAGATTGAAGGGATTTAATTAATAACAAGCTCGTGTACAGCAGCATCTTTCCATGAGAAACTGCAGGAACCTTCCAGCAGCTGTCCCTGGAGATGCTGATCTGCTTTACACAACAGCATCTACCCAGGTCACTGCTGGAGAGATGAGATCTGGGACCTAAAATGTGAGGATGCTTCTGCTCCTACTCAAGAACTTCAGGTCAGGGCTGAGAATGGCAGAACTGGGGAACTGCTGAGGTTGGCAGGGATCTCTGGAGATCATCTGGTCCAACAACCCCTGCCTGTGGTAGGGACTGTGTCCACATGGATTTTGAATATCTCCATGGATGGAGACTCCAGAGCCTCCCTTGGAAACCTGCTGGAGTGTTTGACCAACCTCAGAGAAATAAAGCCACCAGGATTTAGTGATAACAAGAAGAGAGAAAGGCATGAAAATAGTCTCCTGATGACTCTCTCAAGGCTTTCTTTAGCCCCAATTATAATGAAAACACAAATCCTGGTCCCAGAATTCCCTGAGATCCCATTTTCATGCATAGTAAATCACCAGAAAAATGGATACTTTGTGTTTCTGTCATCTCCAGTTGTATTTTGAGCTGATCTGGTGTTTGGAGAGGCTGAACCTCCCTTCCTGTCACAGTGTGCTGTCACCTAATGAGTGCACAGTGCCTGTCTCCTCATTTATGGATATTTTTATATATTAACTGTATTTATGAATATAACAGCACCCACTTTTGGCAGAGAATTTGAGAGCTAAAAGACATTCAACAGGATTTTGTTTACAAACCACTGAGTCAAACAGTGAACTCAAATTTGACAGACACTTCAGGAAATTGTATAAATAGGATGTGCCATGATTAGCAAGACAGGGCAGAATGGGGTTTATTAGCTGTTAATCCATGCCAAGGTTTGTTTTAATAACTGCACCATCCTTGGAAATGTGCTCATTAGTTATTTGTACATTCAAGTGTTTTATTACAATTGAGTGGTTTTCTCCTAAATTATTTGCTCAGATAAAAGGAGTTCTGAGCGAGTTTGACTTTTTTAGCTCAAAAATTCTTCATTACAAGACATAAGGAACATAATAATGCTACAAAAACACCCCAAAATTTCTCTCTAAGCCCTTCTGAGTGCAGCTCAAATTACGTGGAACATTATCAGGGAAGGTTCAGGCTGCAGCCAGGAGAGAAAACCCTCCTGCTGGTCAAAATCCCACTGGGAATTAAATAAGAACACACAAACCATGGCTGGACGTGGTCTGAATGGTCCCTGTCCTGCAGCACTTTCCTGGGGAGCTGTTGGGGAGCTGGGAGGGTGAGAACTGGGCAGGAGCTGCTCCAAGCTGGGCTGGGAAACTCCTGCCTTGGGGATAGTGGTGGAGATTGGACCTTGACCTTCTCAGAGCCATCCAGCAGCTCTAGATGAATTAATAAGTAATTAATGTTTGGATATTTAGGAAAAATTTCTTCACTGAGAGCTGGTCAGGCATTGGAACAGGCTGCCCAGGGAAGTGTGGAATTATCATCCCTGGAAGTGCTCAAAATACGTGTGGATGTGGCACTTGGGGACATGGGTTAGTGGTGGCCTTGGCAGTGCTGGGGGATCTGATGATCTTTGAGGGCTTTTCCAGCCTTAACAATTCTAGAATTCTGTGATTCTGGAGGTGCTGGAGGCACAGACCCAGAAATGGGAGGTACCACTGGAATTGTACTTGCAGGAACTGGGGGCTTTTGGGTGGGCAGGGCTGGGATTAGTGTGCAGACAGTACCCCAGTCCTTCACAGGACCCTCCCAGTGCTCCTAAATATTTGAGAAATGACTCTGCTGAAGTTTGGGGAGTTACTTTCATATGAGAAAGATCATCTAAAAAGGAAAATACAGCCACTGCAGGACAGCACCAGTATTACCCAAGCCCTGGGGAGATTGCTGCCTGCTCCTTCCCAAGGTGTATCTCCAGAAGAAAATCCACTTTGCTCAGAGTGATTAATTGTATGTCATCTCTTGCAGCAAGCTGGCCTTGAATTAGTTTAGGGCATGCTAATAATAATTTATGAGGAAGGATTAAATTAAGACAAAAGCTCAAGTAAATTTTGTTCCTTTAAATCATCAGCACTGCCTGAACTCTGCAATAGGTGCAGAAGTGATCCAAGGAATGCTTTATTTTATTTATTTGGTTTCAAAGAACCTTGATACTGAAGAACTGGTCTGAACACCAGCTCTGTGGAGCTCTGGAGATGGGGGAGGTGTTCCAAGGTTCAGTTAATTGAGTTATTCCCAAACATCCCTGGCTTTTGTTTTCTTCAAACAGGTCTGATGTGTACTCAGAGTTCAGATATTTTTAGCTGTAGGTGTGTGGGAAGATGTTTGATATGTACAAGTGCACTATTTTTATTTCTTTTACAGACCCCCTCTAGAAAAGCAACAGTGCTGTTGATACAGCTAATTCCTGACAAAATTCAGTGTCAGGCTGTGCCATCACTTCTCAAAATGGCCATTAATCTTTGGGAAATAAGATGTTTATCGCATCCATTGGTATGGAAATCACGGCTTCCTGATTTAAGGCCTGACTTTTTGTACCTTTCTGCATCTGTTTGTGTATTTGCAAATGGCTTTAAATCACAGCAATTGCTGTGTCACCTCACACAGCCTTAAATTCATCCTGTGTAAATCTTTGAGGGGAAGAAATAACATTAACACAGGTGGAATGTAGCTACTTATCCAAGCTGCTGCGGGGAAACTTCTGGAAGGAGGAGGGTAACTTGCAGCTGAATTGTTGCTGATGGTTTTCCTCGAGAGCATTTATAACCCAAGCAATTCAGTCACTTGCTGTCACTAATTAGAATAAATCAATATTTCCGGACTGTGGCCAGTCAATATTTGTAATCCCCTAAACCAGCAATATGTTGGGGATTAATTTTTATCTGGACAAATCAAATTTCAACCTGTTGGACCAGGCTGGAATTAAAATTCTCCAGTGGCACGTTGGTAACACACCCCCTGGGGCCCTGGGCAGTTCCTCCTGGTTGGTGTTTACCCATCCCAGGATATTTTACTGTGAAATAGAAGATGATGATGAGTTTTCTCCAGTTGTTCTGTTTGTTTGCTGTGCCTCAGTCTTCTCTCCTGCCTCTTCCAGGGGTTCTGGTGCTGACTTTCTTTGTGAACAGATTCCACGTGAACACCATCACCAGCAAGGATCAGTTCATCATCGCCTACGGGGGGCTCCGGGGGGCCATTTGCTTCTCTTTGGTTTTCTTGCTCCCTGAGTTTCACAGAAAGAAGCTCTTCATTGCAGCGACCACCGTCGTCATCCTCTTCACTGTGTTTGTGCAGGTAAAACTAACACTTTGAATGAATTCCGACTTGGGACCCCTCCAGGTGGACCATGGAGAAGGTTCCTCTCCCTCAGGTTGGGGTTGTAAGGAGTTCTGGGGCTCCAGGGCTGAGTCTGTAAGGAATTCTGGTACTCCGGGGCTCGGGAGGAGCAGCAGCAGCCTCGGCATTGCTGTGACATCTAGTGGTAAAACCATTCCTGCAGCCTTTGTGGGGGGAGGATCTTGGATGTCTCTTCTCTGCCCAGCAGAGTCTCCAAGGGCTTCTCTGAAATACATCTGGAAAAGGAGGGAAAATGGTTTCCACCACATTTAAAGAAGGATGTGGTGGGAAAATTGGGGTCCTCTCATCCTGAAGTGAGCAAGGCTGACGTTTATCCCAAAAATTAAGTGTGGGTCTCCATAGGGCTGAAGCAAGTGAGATAATGGGGGTCTGGGAAAGTTGCTGTGCAGAAAAACTCCCTGGGGGCTCCTGGTCAAGGACATGAGGTCCATGTGGAGCTGCTGACCTGGGTCTGCCCTTCTCCTGCCCTGGGATGGAGGGAACAGAGGGGTTTCTGGGGCTTTGGGAGATGGTGGCTCGTGGTGACAACTAACGAGTGGTTCTGTGGCTCAGCATCACCCTGAGAGCAAATTCCTTCTACTTGGGCTCACTGAAGCCCTCAGTGGGTGTGCTGGGCCCTTGGGCAATGTGGAGGGTTGAGGTTGACCCTCTGCTTCCCCACATCCACCTGAGCTCATCCTGAGCTGAAAAAGTGCTCGAGGAGGGGGACGTGCTGATGGGTTTTGAACTGGGACCCGCAGGTCAGGGGGCACAGCCTCAGCCTGAGAGGGGAGAGCAGGGGCCGGGGCTGGGGGCAGCAGCCTTAGATAGAGGTTGCCAAGTTTTAAGATGCAAATGTGGGTCAGGAATTGAAAAGCCCCGGTCACCAGGCACGTCCGCTCACGCAGAGACGCTCTTGAGCCTCACACAAAGGTTGTTCTAAGGCAGCAGCTCCTTTCTGCTGAGGCTTCGGGAAATCCTTCCCAGGACTGGGAAAAGGGCTTTTGTGTAAGCTCAGAGCTCAACTGGTGATGTCACCTCCTTGCAAAAGGGTGAGAGTTAAACAGGGTCTCCCCCGGGTACGTGTGGACGGGGCGACCCCTTGACCTTCAGCCATTCAGAGGGGATGTGGCGTCTGTAAAGCCAGGCTTTGCCAGGCTCCAGGTACCTGCAGAGCCAAGGGGAGCTGAGGCCACCACCAGAACAGGGGAGGAAAAAACCAGGAAACTTGCTCAAAAGCTGGGGAGGAAAGATATTGCTGCAGCTCAGCACAGGAAAGGTGGGGAAATGTAACAGGGGCAGGAATTCAGATGAACCTTCAGAAACCTGGGTTAAAGTCCATGGCACTGCTGCCAGATACATCGATGGATGCAGGATTGAGGAGTAAAAATCTTCAGTATCCCAGTGTTTTTCAGGGTGCACATCACTGGGGGTGGAAAGGACAAGAGAAACATTGGGTATGAAACAACTTCTGTGCATAGTGGACGTTCTTGTTGTTGTTTTGTGCAATGAATTTTCTTTACGTTCACAGTGATCTCAACACAGATTTGGTGGGGAGTATCTGTGTTAAAATAGGACAGGAACTAAGGGAGAGATGATTTGGGCCCTTCTAGGCTGGTTTGGGCCAGCAAAGCATCTTGTCAGAGCACAAACCCACTTCCTTCTATGATTCCCTCGGCAATCCTGACCACCCTGCTACAAAGGAAGGACAATCCTGTAAAATAGCTGGGCTTGTCCATCCATGGGTCTATCAGAGCACTGCACAACCCAGGAAGCTCCTCTCTCTTGGCCTCTCTAACCCAGTTGCACAAGGCTCTTCCCACAAAAAGCCTGGTTAATAATTTTGAGAAGGTTGACTGAGCAATTGTCAAATCCTCAGCGCTTCCAAGCAGGCTGGAGATGAGCCATGTAGACCAGGAAGCCCTCCAAGGAGCTGTGGGCTTGGCTGGAATGTCACAAAAAGCCCTCATTGTTCTGCCTCTCGCTGTGGTTTGAAATGAAATGCTGTGCTCTCCGTTTGAGGTTCACTCTCCCAACTCGGTGACCTGTGACCTCTTCCATGGAATTCTTAGCAAATATAAGAGTTGTGAAGAGGTGGGTGGGTTTGTTTGCTGCCCACGTTGCCCCTTTGGATGGCTGGAGGTGGAAAACGTTGTGTGGGCTGTGACAGAGCATCAGGTGCTGCCCTTGGTTGAGCTGTCCCTGGTGAGTGGAGGAGCATCACCAGGGACCTCCAGGTGTGCTGGGAGATGCCATGGGATTCCCACAATGGTCCCAAATGCTGCTTTATAAATGCAAACAACTGCAGCTGATTATCCAAGAGGACAAGCTGTGTAATTTCCACCTAATTTTTGTAATATCTGTTATTTCTGAATTTGTGAGTTCTGTGTTATTGACCCTGAATAGCAATGCATTTTTTATTGCTATTAGCTATTAAAATGACACATTAATTGTTCCTGCAATTAAAAATGTGTTCAACTCTCCTCTGTGCCAGCATTTGTGACATTCAGAAGTCATAAACATCAACTACTCCATCATTTTTGCTGTAAACATGTCCTAGAAAAGTCATTTCATACCGAAGCCAGACTAAGAAACACACCACGACAGCGTTTTAGAAGTTCTCTCACGAGGCTTAAAGGACATTAAAACTTTTCCCTTGACCCCTCCCACCAGGTGGATGCTTTGATTAGCAAACTTAGCCACTGGCTGGCCATCAGAGATCGTTGAGGTAATGAGCTGTGACACATAAAGCTCCAGAAGTGAGCAGACAGTTGCTGGCAGAGGCTCCACGCTGAGAAATCTCAGGGATTATCATCGTTTCAGGCATTTGAACTTTGATCATTCCAAGCCCCTCTCCATTTGGGAGGCCACAAGCAACGTCAGACCACAGGCTTGACCTTGGAATTATTAGTTGGCCTTCTGTGGGCTCTGAGCTGCCAAAGGAGGCGAGTGGAGCGTTCCCTCTGTGCCTCCCCCATCCCGAATTCTCCACGTGAGCTCCTGCTGACAGGCTGCTCCCAAGAGCAAACCCTGGGTTTGGTTTGCAGTTGGGAGAGCAGGTTCTAGTCTTGTTGAAGCTTTGCAGGTGATATCCTGCCACTAAAGCAGGGCAGATGAGAGGTGCTGGCTCAGACAGCAGAACAAGGCTCAGCCCCGTGCTGGCGGTTTTGTCCCATCAGGAACATTTGATGGGAAAAAAGGCTGATTTTTGTGTTTGTGGTTGTTTTGCAGGGAATGACCATCCGTCCTCTCGTTGACCTGTTGGCTGTCAAGAGGAAAAGGGAGAGTGCTCCCACAGTGGGAGAGCAGATCCACATCCGGGTAAGGATCAACATGAGGCCAGAGCTTTCTGATATCTTTGCTGATAGGATGGGCCTTCTAAAATGGGGGTGACTCCAGGGACCCTACAGATCTGCAGTTTGACCCAAATCCTCCTCAGGTCAGCCCCTTTGCAGGTTGGGAGTCCTGTGCAGCTTCCTAACCATGGGTTGATGTTTGTTTTGGAAGGGCAGCCACCAATCAGGCTGATGTTCCATCAGGTAATGCACAAACATGTTAGAAAAAGATGATCCCTTACCCAAAACTTTAAACTTCGACTTAACTCCAATTTTTCTGCTTCTCTGGAAAGAGAGATAGAAAGAAAATGAGACTTGGTTGCTTTCAGGGTTGGGATCTTCCGTGTGTTCTCCAGTCCCATCACCACCAATGGTTTGGATATTTTTGCAAAAAAATCAGAAAAGGGAGGATGAGGTTGGGGTGGAGGAAACCTCTGAAGTGCCCCATCCCTGGGGTTGTTCCAGGCCAGGTTGGGTGGGGTTTGGAGCAACCTGGTCTAGGGGAAGGTGTCCCTGTCCATGTCACGGGGTGGAATGAGGTGATCTTTAATGTCCCATTCAACCCAAACCATTCCACGATTCTAAATCCATAAACTAAAGTTGGGATTTCAGGATTTCAGTCACTTTGTTCTCACCACCCAAACATTGGTATTTCTAGTCATAGAGGACTCCAGAGGGAGGCTCAGCTCCAGGAGGTCAAGGGATTCCACACATCCAGCTGATGCTTTGCATTTGCATCTGCATCCCATGCACAGTTAGGATATTTCTGAATCCAGTTGTTCAATCCCAGTCACATTTCTGTGGGTTTGGCTCCTTCAGGAATATTATTGTCATTGTCTTCTTTAGAAATAAAGCCATTAGGGCTGAGGACATTTACAAAACCTGTTTGGCACCCTCACAATGAGGTTGTTCTGCAGGGCTTTGTCTGAGGTGAACAGAACAGCTCGAGAGGCTGAAGAGTATTTTCCTACCGTGAACAGAGGAGAGTTTCTTCTTTTGTTGCTGTGTGAATAGTAAATCATCCCTGGGAATGTGTTTATTAGGAGATGGGAGCTGAAAATGGCTGTGTACCAATTAAGTTGAGAAGGTAATAATGCAGATAGTTGGAAATCAGGGATGCAGAAGCCAGGATAGCTTTCTTCCTCAAATTTATTTCTCCATCTGGATGGTCAGGACACTGTTCCTCACAGGAATGATGATCAGTGTGTGTGGGTTTAATTTCTTAGAACTGTAGAATGGGGCAGATGGGAAGGGACCTTAAAGCTCATCTCATCCCACCCCCTTCCATGGGCAGGGACACCTTCCACTAGCCCAGGTTGCTCCAAGCCCCATCCAGCCTGGCCTTGGACACTTCCAGGGATGGGGCACTCCAGTGGTTTTGGAGGTCCTCAGAACAGGCAGCTGCCAATGTGAGCACACTAAACCCCCACCAGGCTGCAGGGCTGAGGGAGCCACTCTGAAATTTTCTGTCTCTGACCCAAGAAAAAATAATTAAAGAAACAATTAGAGCTGGAGGAAGCTCCAGGGTCATCAGTACCTGCGTGGGGAGGGGCAGCAGAGAAGAGCCCTCTCCCTGTTCTGAGATGCCAGTAGGAGGGAAAACAATTTGGGAAACTACAAAGATTTAACTTCTAGGTGAAAAAATCAACCTGTCTGGGATTTTTAATATAATTTTGATATTTTAAACAATAATAAAAACCTCTGTATGAGGCACAATATGGCCAGTGATTATTGGGAAGTGTCTGGGGGAAGGCAGTATTTAGTATTCAAGACAAAACATCATTTACGAGTTATCTACATTGATATCCTGATTCCCTAAGTCAGACTGTCCTCCAAAACCCCAACAGGAGCATTTCCTGCTTCTCAAGGCCCAGTGGGCAGGACATGTGAGCCCTCAGCCATCCTGCACAATCAGGTGCAGGTTCATGTCCCTCAGCATTTATTCTCTGCTTGCCCAGACCTTAAAGCAAACCACTTACTGTACTCCAGAACCAACAGATCCATGTGGATGACTGGATGGGGAAGTATCCCAAACCCCCTCTCTTTGTTTCCCAGCTCCATATTCCGAGCTGGAAGCATCTCCTGTGCTGTGTGTGGCTCTTGCTGTTTGCTGGCTGGGTTCATCCCCGGGGTACAGCCAAATCCTCTCTTCTCTTTAGTTCTTGGATCATCTGCTGGCTGGCATTGAAGATATATCTGGACACTGGGGACAGTATTACTGGAAAGACAAGTAAGGATGTGCCAAAAAGACAACTGTGGACATGTGTAGAAAAAAAAGGAGCCTGGTTTCTATTCCCAGAGTTTCTGCTGTGGGCAGCTGAGCCTTGTTCATCCTTGTGCCACAAGAGAGCTGACACAGGGGCAGCTTTTCCTTGTCCAAGGTGGCTCCAGGTTCTTGGAACGCTTCCCTGCTTGCAGACACCTCTGGTACATCACCCTAAAAAGATCCTTTTTCCTCTCCTGTGTTGTTTGTCCCTTCTTATCCAAAGGAATCTGCTGGCAGTGGAATGGCCACGACACACAGCCCATCCCCGCCCGTGCCCTTCTGCCTGTCTGGCCAGGTGGGAGCTGAGCTTCCCAGACCAGGCTTGGCAATTAACATTAAAACATTAAAAATTAACATTAAAAATATGAGTTTGCAGCATTGCTTGTTGTGGACTGAAATTACAGAGGATCTCTAGAGATTTCTGTATCCAAGTGCTCCATTTTCATTAAATTCCGGTAGTGTGTACATTTTAAAATTTTTAAAAACCACTGTGAGATTTAAAAAAACCCCACCAAACACAAATAACATAAAATATACTAATAGCAATCTACCAGGTTTAAGTCCTTGGCTGTGCAGACACAGATGCAGCTGGTAGATTTTATTTTATTTTGGGATGCCCATGCTTGGAAGTGCCACTAGAGGGTATGGGAATCACTGCTACTGAGGAGCATCCTGGCTCCTTTAGAGATACCGATTTTAGAGGTCTTTTTCAACCTAAATGATTCTATGATTTGAGCTGAAAGCAAGAAAAAATGGCTCAAAAGGGAGTCTGAAAGTGTTTAAATCTGGGGCTGCTGCATGTGCTTGTAGGACTTACAGTGGAGTTCATGCTAAATTTGGCATTTTGGGGAGTTTTTATTGTATTTTGGAAAGTTTAAATATTTTGGCTCAGGTACTGGAGTGCAGAAATAATTAGGGATAGACCTTTTGGACCATTGATTTCTGGATAGAAAGTGATGGGATATAATGTAACATAATGGAATATGGGACAGCTGTGGGCTGTGAACCTGCTGCCTTGCTCAGGTCTGGTTCGGTGCTGAGGAGTCCTGGAGCAGACTAAGGCCCACCTTGCTTTGTCCTCAACCAGATTAGAATATTTCAACAGCAAATACCTGCAGAAGATCCTGCTCAGGGAGTATGACCAGCCCAAGTCCAGCATCGTGCTGCTCTACGAGAAGCTGGAGAGGAAACACGCCATCGAGCTGGCAGAGGCTGGGCAGCTGGGCCACGGGCCTGCCCACCCCTCCCTGCTGTGAGTAAACCCTCTTAGACCTCCTAAATCTCTTGAAGGTCAGTGGGTGGGTGTTACAAATGAAGGGCTGGATGGGCATCTGCTGACATCGGTGACGTGGAGCCTCACCCGAGTGATGTGGAAACGGTGCTCTGAGGAAAAGGCTCTTGCCCAATTTTTGAGGGTTTTGCACCATGAGGTGTCCTGGAGGAACCACTAGTGAGACAGCAGGGATGAGTGTCTGAGTGCCAGAATGGGCACTTCGCCCCTCACAGATGGTTCTGCTCTGCCACAGCTCTTCTATCCACCCAGGAGCACAATGACAGCACAGCTCTGATGCAAATACTGAATTCCCCCTCTGCAAGGATGAGCTGTTGGTCACACTGGCTGTGGTGGGGATCCCAAAGGGCTGCTGGGGGTACTGGGATTTGGGGATGCACTGGTTGTGTCCCTTCTAAAATGAGGGGTCCTGGTTTTCTTTGCAGCAGCAACGACAGGACTGTCAGAACAGACCAAAAACTGGAGGATACTCAGAATCCTGATGTCCTGGATAATATGCAGGAAATTTTGGCGAGGAACCTGTACCGGATCAGGAGAACGGTATAACTTTTCCCTCCCTCTGTATTTTAACTGTCCAACAGCACAAGTTACCTCAGTTATCTGAGCAGCCTGAGCAGATGTTATGAATGTTTCCATAATTACCCATGATGTCTCTTTGTGAGCAGAGAATAGTTGGCTGTGTGGAGCCAGATCCAGTTTCCAAGTCAGTGGCACATTTCTGTTTGCACATGACAGCTTTTGAAAGGTTCACCCAGTCAGCCTATAATTTCCCGGAGTATTTTCGGCATCAGTACCCGGCAGCAGAAAGGAGAAAGGAGGAGCACATGGAACTTCAGGCACATCCAGCAGCAGCTCCTGGTTACTGACAGGGCAGAGCAGGGGTGGGTTATCCTCACACTGCACTTTTTCCCATGGAAGAGGACACAGTGAGTGAGCTGTGAGTGAGAATTGATGTGCAGAGGTTTCAAAGCCGCCCGGCAGTTTTGCCATGGAACTGGTACAACTGGTGAAAGAGCACAAACCCCACTCTCTGTTTACAGAGCCACTCGGGGATCATGGCTGGGGTTTTGCACAGCACCAGGGCTGTGCATGGTAATTGCTGTTCACATGGAGCCTTATCCTTAAAATCCACCTAAGCCTTTGTTTTACGGATTACACACGGAATGTGGAGTCCTTGGGGATGGGGATGGTGCTGGCACTCAGCACAGGGGGATCAGCCACTCCCTCCTGTCCCTCTGCTGAGCCGAGGGAAGCAAGGAAATAAGGCTGGGAGGAAACCTATAGACGTGGTGAAGGGGATGAGGATAAAGGCACAGCTCCTGTTTACACCTACTCCTGCCCAAATCCGGCCTCGCCCCTTGTAGTGACAGAGTTATCCCAACTCCCACGGATGTTAGTGGGAGATCTCACTTTGGAATTTACGGTTCCTGTTGTTTGCATGATCTATACAGGAAGGTGGGGCTGATCTAAGATGTTGTAGGGTTGGACAGAGGGGCTGGGGCTGAAGGTGCCTCGAGCAGAGTCGTTGCACTCGTTCCACGTGTTACCTGGACTATCAGAGCTGTATCTCAGCCTTGTCATTCAGTGATTTCTTGGGTGATCTCACCTCAAAAAAGCAGAGTTTGGAGCCCCTTCTCCCCTCTGTGGTTTCCCTCCCTCCTCACCTCTCATGGATCAGCTTATCCCCATAAATAGGCGGGATGGTTACAGGGGTGAAGGCGGTGAAGTGAGGGCTGGGATGGTCCCACATCCAACTCCTCTCTGGTGCCTCGTGCAGGGCCCGGCGTACAACAGGCACACCCTGCCCGGCGAGTCCGAGCCCTCGGAACATGCCAAGGAGATCCTGATCCTCCGGCACAAGAGCCTCCTCGTGGAAGTGAGCGGGAGCGACGCGGGCAGCTCCAGGAAGGAGGTAAGAGGGAGCAGGAATAAGCAGGGATCATGCACAGCCTGCTTTCCCTGGGCAGATGTAGCTACAACCTCTTTATTGCTGAGGGTATTTCCTTTAAAAGACAAATCCTGGTACCTTAAACTAAAAAATAAAGGGTATCTTAATCCCAAATCACGTTCCAGTGAGCAGGAAATACTGAAGCAAAAGAACCCAACCCAACTCATGCCAAACCAAGGAACCATCCTGAGCACAGCCCCATCCACTGCCTTGTGGACACAGCCTTCCATGCTAGGAAGGTTATTTACTGAGCAAATATTATTAATTGGGCTTCACTCTGTACGTTCCAAGGTCTGTTCTTCCCATGTTTTCTGGGCGATTTCATCAAAGACAGGAATTTGGTTACCCCATTGTCAGTGGTGCAGGTGGACTGTAAATATCTGAAACCGTTTGGTGGTTCCCCACTCCCCAACTCTTTCGAAAGGACTGCAGCATTTTTGAGAGCTTTCTTATTTATTCTGGAGGTGGGTTTTTGTTTTTAAAAGCAGCTACAGTTCTGGGCAGAAAATAGAGGGAAGTTTTGCTCACTGGATTCCTGGGAGAACCAAAACTTTTTCCAGTTTACTGCTGGCACAGTTGGTTCATGTTCTGCATCAGAGGAGAAACAAGGTGAATACAATGTCTGTGCTGAAGACTTTTCCTGACTGCTTTGGAAGTCAGTGAGAGAAGCTGGGCCAGTTTCCTCATGGAAAGACAAAATAGTCCAGGGATGGTGCAAGAGGAGCAGGTTTGGTCTTTTCAGTTCCTCCCGTCCTGTGTTACTCCTGTTCTAGAGGAAAAGCCTTTAACCCCTGCCAGATTCTGCTCCCAAACCTCCAGGTCAGCAGCACGGTAGAATCATGGAATATCCTGAGTTAGAAGGGACCCACAGGGACCATCAAAGTCCAACTCCTGGCCCTTCACAGGACAGCTCCAAGAATCCCACCATGTACCTGAGAGTGTTGTCCAAACACTTCGTGAGCCCTGTCAGGCTTGGTGCTTGCAGTAATTGCTGAGCCATCCCTAAATTTCACCCACTTCTCCAAATTTTAGGTTCTGATGGCTGGAGCACTGTCCAAGTGTGAACTGTGACCTCTAACCTGGGCAGCAAGGCTCCATCATGGAGGAGAAAAATGACCTTTGAAAAAGAAATAGATTACCTTTCAGGGCTGTCATGGGCTTTCTTCCAGTCCATTTTCCTTGTGGAAATGCCAGTCATGGAGTAGCCCACCGAGGACAGCAGCAATGCCCCAAAAGCTGCTGCTTCTCAGCCCTTCATTCACAGAAAGGTGCTCCAGCTCTTGCAAACAACTTAAAAGCTTTAATTTGATCATTTACATGCTGATTGGTACTTACAATTCAAAATAGATAGGCAAGAACATGGCATGTTCCTGTAGAACATTTGGTATAATTAAACTTCAAAAGAGCAACATCAAACTCCGGCTGATTTTCAGCACAACGTTCCTGCTTTAAGGATATTTGATTGTTAACCCTTGTGCTCCTGCTTTCCCCTTTGCTGCTGCACGAGGTGGCAAATTTAGGAGCTTTGGGAAGGCTGTTTCTCCTGTTCCTTTGTATTCTTACATCTGGGCTTTTGGGGAAGAGAATATTTTTATGGAATTGCAAAGGCAGTAGAACTCACTGTCTCTGACTCATGGATGGTGTTTGATGCCCTGTGAGGGTGGAAAATGCCCTGTGGGTCGTGGAAAATGCCAATTTGATTGAAAGGAACCTTAAGGACCATCCAGTTCCACCCCCTCCATGGACAGGGACACCTTCCACTAGACCAGGTTGCTCCAAGCCCTGTCCAACCTGGCCTTGAAGAGAGAGAGATACTAAATGTTGGGAGCTGATCCCAGTGACACCTGCAAGGTGTGACTCTAAGCCAAGAACCATCCAGCTGTGCCCAAAATAAGCCAGGCCTATTTTGTGACATCAGCAGCTTATCTGGTAATTTTTAGGAATATCTGCCTTGCTTTGCTGTGAATAGAAATAGGGCAATGCCCCAAAGTGATAAGAAAATGTTCTAACGGAGCCCTGGAATATTAACATGGTATTAATTTTATATATAAAATATTATATAATATTAAGGAGGGTGGGTGAACGCTGCTACTTCCTGCTGTAGGAGGACAGATTGCAGAATTTATCAGCAGAAAGAAGGAACACTGTACTAAAAAGTAGATTTTAGCCCATTATAAGCAGCTCCATACTTTAAATTTTTGGGCAAAAAAGCAGCTACTTATATTTAGTTTCATGCCAAGTTGACAAGAAAATGGCATTTTCCTGATTAAAAAAAAAAGAGATGAAGGAAAAATGAAGGTAGTTAATGTTTGAGATTTTTCTGATTGTCAGACATTCCATCTTCTGTAATCCCAAAGGGGAAGGCTTTGGCCTTCCAGGTTTTGAGTCAGCAAGAAAAAACTGGCTGCTGTCACTCCACACGTGTTTCTATTCTGCATCTCACCACGAGATGGAAGCATTACAACTGTGTTTGCACATCCAACTGGAAATGCAGGGATGGGGAAGGAACTTCCAGCAAAGGGCCACTGAAACCCCTCTGGGGCTGGTGAAACTCCTGCAGTTCTGTTGCCAGTCTGTTGGAGAAAGCTTTGGTGATGCATCCAGTCTGTTAAGTGCTGGGAGCTGAGGGAATAATTAAAGAATCCTTTTGGTTCAGTAGAAACCCTGTTTTTTCTGCTTGCTGAGTGTCTACATATATATTTTTCTTTCTTAATGTAGCTGGTTAGTGCTTTGCTATTAAAGATGAAGGTGGTGTAGCTTGGATTCATCTCATGATTTATCAGGTGCTGGTTGGTCTTTCCCCCCCCCTTGTGTCAGTCACCACAAAACAAGGGATGGGTGGAACAGCTTCCTTCTGTAGGTCTGTGGCTTCCCCGGGCTGGGGAGGAGCCAAATTCCTCTTGTCTCATGGACAATCCATCTCCTTCCACAGGAGAAACCAGTGCCCAGGCCAGGATGAACACCAGGCTTCAGCCAGGATGGCCTGGGATTGGAACTGGATGATCTTAAGGGTCCCTTCCAACCCAAAGCATTCTGTGACTATGAATCACCTCTCCTGGGTGCCTTTAGGGGTCTCCTGCACTTTAGGTGTCTACCTGGGCTTTGGCAGTAGTGAGAGGGGGTTCTTAGGCTGCCTTTGGAGCCCCTGCCAAGGAGAGTTTGGAGAGCAAACCGGGAAAAAGCCGAGAGAAGCAGCAAGAAAAGAACAGTCCTCATCCCCCCGGAGCCAGCGGCGCAGGTTAAATGATTTACGCCAGGCAGAAAAACCTTGGCAGGAGTTCGGGGTGACTTCAGAGCTGAACTGTAGCCCAGAGGATTAACTCCAAGACTATCTATTTCCAGCAGAAAGTTCGCCTTCCTCCGCCTCGGGACAAAATTCCTGCCGAAGGCTGCCGCTTCCTGGAGCCGCGCATCCCGCCGGCTCCCACCGCCGCCCGCGTTTGGGGCTCGCCTTATTTTCGGCAGGGCTCCAGCACAGCCTAGGCTGGCAGGGCGGGGGCCGAGACCCAGGATAGCCTTTATTTCCCGCTGAGCACCAGCAAATCCCTGCACCTGTAGCCAGGCAACTTCGGCCTCTTTTCTTCTGCCAAAACACGGGTGCGCTCCCCCAGAAGGAGCCGATGCGGAGCTGCCTGTGAGCCGTGTGCGTAAATGACACACCGCCTTCGGTAATTATGCCCGAGCCCTTTCATGGAGCAGGCTCCGAGAATGTTAAATGCCCCTGGGAATGGCTTTCCAGGGAGCCGGGAAGGCATTGTTATTAAAATGGTCCATAAAAGGGAGAACAAGGGCTGGAGGGCAGCGGTCCTCGTTAGGGGAGGGAGGAGAACGAACCGAAACAAAACAGCGAACCAGGCTGGGAGGTGTCCAGAGTTATTTTGGCAGTCTGGGCTGCTGGATCGAAGTGCCAAATCGCAGCTGCGTGAGAGACTTATTCCCAGTTCACGGCGGCACCGAACAATCCAGGCAGCATTGTGCTACCTGATTTGGATTTTTTTTTTAGTTCTATTTGTTTTGTCCTGGAGGGTGGAGATTAGCACTGGAGTGAAAGGCCAGGGAGCTCGTTAGTGCAGCTCGTTACCTGCCTCCTTGGCCCGCAGCCAAGGTGGGGAACAGCCAAGGTGTGAGAAACAGCCACATCCTGGGGACAGCTTTGCTTTCCCTGCCCCAGCCTCCCAGCTCCAGGGCTGCTCCTTCCCATCCTCCCAACCACTCCTGGAGAGCCCAGACCTCTTCCACCAACTCAAAACAAATCAGTGTCTGTAAATGTTTCCTGCCATCCATTCAGTCTATTTTTAGCAATACTTCTTTTTTATTTGTTTGTTTGCTTTGGTTTGGTTTTTTTTTCATGGCAGAAGTTAAACAAATGGGAGTGGAATCCTTGGAGATTGCAAATGCTTGTTTATGAGGCGGGAGTGTGCTTCCCAGACTTGTAGCCACCTCCATAAATGCACTAAAGCCCTTCTCTCCCTCAGTCCCAGAAGGACGATTCCTGCTCGGCACAAGGTGATCCCACCCCCCAGCTCAAGCTCTGCCGCTCCTTCACTGGTAAGTTGGGGGGGCCTGGGGGTGATTCCCTGCCCTCCCTGTCCCCTCCTCCATGTGGGATGACCCAGCAGGTTCAGGGACGATGTGTGGACAAAGTGGGGCTTTGTAGATGAGCATCATGAATGAGTAAGAAGAACCTTCCCAGCCTTCTCAGCCCAACCCGAGATCAGTGGGAATAGTTTGGGTGGGAAGGGATCTTTCAGGGCTATCTAATCCAACCCCTCTGCCATGAACAGGGACATCTCCCACTAGATCAGGTTGCCTCATCCAGCTATTTTAATCCACAGCTCACTATGAATATTTAAATGATGTTCTTTCTGAAGAGCAAAGTGATCAAAACCAATGTTTCTGGGTAGGCTTTTGGTCACCCCAGGGAAAATGTGAGCACCGTGGCCCCTGAGACAGCCTGGTGACAGGACTGAAGGAGACTGTAACCCTTCCAGGGTGGTTACATGTACATCCCTCTCCCTCCCCAAATCACTTAATGTGGCAAGGTGACGTTCCAGGTGCTCCTGCACCTTCTAAAACTCTTCTAAGGTGGTCGCTGATGGGAATTTTTGTTTTGTAGAGTTGCAGGTGGGGACTGACAAAGAATGATGATATTGATCCAGATATGTAATGTATTTCAAAGTATAAACCAGGGGTTAAATTATCGGGTTTTTTTGGTTTTTCTTCTATTGAAACACTGATCTTTGGTTTTATAACTGAGAAGTGATCCTTGGGGTGGAACAGCTCATCCCCAGTGAGCACATGGCCACCTTAGTAGCTCCTGGGATTTCCTCATTCCTGTTGACCCACAAAGATGAATGTTTCTCATCCAAGTTGGTGGTTTTTCTCTTCCCACAGTGGGGAACACGGAAAAGGTCCGGGAAGTGAAGGAGAACCGGTCGAAGTCCGTGTGTGTCATCCCCCCAGCACAGCCCGGCGGGACCTGGGGAGAGGGGAAAGACCTGAGGAAGGGGCTGAGTGTGGAGATCTACAGGCACCAGTGATGCTCTGCCTTCCCACCAGGGTCTGGCTCCTCCTTGGACGGCTGCTCTACGTGTAGATAATGTAAATAAAGTGAATATTGGAAGGCACAGCATGGACAGGGCGGAATATCCGGAGTGGCTTGCACGGAAACTTGGTCTTGTTGCCCAACACTGGATTTTTTTCCCAGGGAAAAGATGCCAAACTGAGCATTAGCAATGCAAGGGAGTGGCTGAGAGAGAATTTCTAAGGAATTTCTAGGAAAAATGAGCCTGTTCAGACTGGGAAAACTGCTGAAACTGCCTAAAACTGCAAGGAAGGTGTTTTAATGAGGTGGGATATCAGATCTTCTCATTAGGTGGCAGGGACAGACTAAACAGCAAAGAGAATTTAGGTCATAGGTTGGGAAAAACTTGATAATCTCAAAGAAGGTTTTATTAGGGGGTGGAGGAAAGAGAGCAGAAACAGCAAAAGATCTCTTCTGCTCCTCGGGAACTGATGGATCCTGGCTAGGAACATTCATCATGGGAAGCCCAAAGGTAAATGACAATTAAATAAGGTGTTGTGTCTTATCAGAGGGGCTATCCCACACCTAGACACAGTTCTTCTGATGAAAACTTGCCACAGCTGCATTAAAAGGCAATGAGAAGAAGAAATGTATTCTTGCTGATCTTTAAAAATTGATGTAAGAGTGGTTCACCTCAAAAAGTAAAGTGAAGAAGCTCCAAATCCAGTGGTGATACCAGGAGATGAGTGTGCCAGCCCTTAAATGGATGGGAAAGTCTTCTGACATGGTTGGTTGGTTGGTGGCAGCAAGGCTGTAAAGGTGCTCTAAGATGATCTTTGCTGCCCCAGCTGGGAGCTGGGGGGTCAGAGGGGGTTTGAAAGTGTTTTCTTAAAACAGAGAGGGACCCAAACCCTCCCTGCTCTGGAGCACTTCTGCCAGGGGAGGTGTGACCCCTCTGCACAGCACACACAGGGAGTTCCCGAGGAAGACAGAAATCCCCACATTTGGGTAATTTTCTTTGAAATTCCAGGTAAGTTCAAGCCTTTGAATTCTTGCCCTCAGCTGAACCCAACAGGGCAAGTTTTAGCTTTGAATCAAGTTTTCTTTCTCTTCTCCTTCCTCTGCATTGAAAGATCCAAGAGTATTTAATATGAAGCAAATTTTAATTTGAAACGAAATTGAAAGGAACTGTAGGAATTCACATACTTCATGATATTTTTGGGCTTCCTCCTGTGTACAGAAATGCTCCATGAGGAGACCACTGCCTGGTCCACCTGGGCTTTCATTTTAAATTAGAGACATAAAACACGTTTGCTTTGCAATGAGCAGGGGTCTCATTGTCACCTGAACAAGCTCTTTTACAGTGTCCTGCCATAAACTGAGGGAGTTCCTGGTGACTTGAAGGCCACTCCTCACTGCCCCATCCCTGGAAATTCACCTTATTGCAAAGGAAAATTGGCCCTTTTAGGCTTATATTGCATTTTATGTGTGTATATACATAGATGTACATATTTATTGATTTTAGTATAACTTCATTGCCATCTTCAGTTACTTTATTAAAATTTGGGTTTGTTTCCCAGTTTAATCCACCTTGAATGGGAACCATGTGGATTTGGCTGTGCTTTGTCTAGAAAACTGTCCATCTTCAATATGTTGTAATATACAATACATATGACATAATATATAACATATATGAATATGGTGAGGTGTACTATGGTTTTATTTCAATTAAATGTGTTGTGTTATGAGCTCATCTCAGAGTTATTACCTCCTTGTACTTCCAATATGCTCATGAGGGTGTCACTGGGGCTCATTCAACTCTGCCTCGTTCAACCCTTGGCCAGTGATCACAAGGGGACAAGGGAGGAAAGGGGTTGAGATGAGGAAGAAAAATGGGCTGTTCATTGGCAAAGGAAACAAAATACTGAGTCTGAAGGTCCTCAGCTCTCTGGGGTTGAAATGTCCCTGTTCACCTGCAGTTCCATGTCCTCAGTGTTTAAAGTTTCTCCTTAAATTCTGCACAGTAAATGCCTAGAGAAGGATTTACTCAGCTGGGTCATTTTTATTCTGTAGATTGAGAGCTAAAAGGAAGATAAATCAAGTTGCTTGTCTGGGAATCTTCAGTCAGGGACAGAAACTGTGAATCCCGTGACTAATTCTTGCCCGGGTTTTGTTTGGTGTTTTTTTTTGTTGTTTCATTTTGGTTTTGTGGTTTTGCTTCTCAGCTGTCTTGTTTTTGTCTGGAATACCTGGATGTCTGAACCATCTTTGTCTTGTAAAGCATCCATCATAATTCTGAGCATCAGGTACTTAAATAATGAGCTTTTCCCAACTGAGTTTCCCATCATGTAAAATCAGCTTTCTGCAATATCATTATGGGCTAGTGAGGACCTTATCAAACAATGGCTGTTTTGGAATTTTGTAATACTGTTGTAGGCAACAGTTGGGAAAAATGAGGATGCTGCCAGAAAATGGAACTGAAATCTGATGTGGAAAAAAGGAAAAAAAATTCCTTGCATTTTTTCAGAATTATACATTTTTATCTCACTTCAGCACAGCAGGAGACATTTTGATGGCAGGATCTCCCAGGTTCTGGCAATTCCAGGTGTTGTGGCTCGTGGCTGTGGAAGTTGCTCCATCCAGCCCCACATTCCCATGCACTGGCTGGATCCTGCACATCCCAGCCCATCATTCCCTTCCAGCCCCACTTTGCAGTGCTGGGTCCATAAATACCCCTCTGCTGCATTAACCATTTGCTTGATCTGCAGAGAAGACAATATTCCCTGCAGCACATACTTTTCCAATGAGTCACTCTGCCCCAAATTTAACCTTCTGGATGCTCTGGAGTTTTTCTTAAAATTTCTTTACAAAATATAAAAGCCCAGCTAAAGCTTTCATGAAGCATTTTCCAGCTGCTCAGTGGCCAAGCCCTCTGACTACTTTGTATTTCAGCCCAGAATACCTTTGATAATCTTTGCCAGTATCCAGTGTTGGTGGTCTTAAAATTCTACAACCGAGTGGAAAACTGTTAAATGCTCAGGCTTCAGAGCGTGCCTAATTAATTCTTTCCAGGGTTTTAGTCCTTTAAAAAGTGTTGAAAACACGGATTCAGTGTATCATTGAATATTGCATGGTTCTGTGGAAATAAATTGCATCAGTTTGATTCCTTCAGGAGTTCAGAGAATTGTTGCTCTGTGCTTACTCTGGAAGTTTACAGGAGTCTTTGGAAAGTTCGGGTTAAAATGGGCAGAAGTTGTTCCTGATGGCAAAGTGAGAGCCCAAAAGCCACGTCAGAAAACTCCAGGCACACAGATCAAGCAGCCCCTTCAAAAATCAGGCAAAATCTCTTTAGCACTCACAATTCCAAAAGGCATTTCAGCACGTGGACTTGTTTTAATATTTGTATTTTGAGCAGAAAATCACTCTTGTGTTTATTTAATTTCACAACTGCTTAAGGAGATTATAATGGCTTAATCCTGGAAAGGCCCAGCAGTGCTTAAGAAGCAGGTGAGGCAAATTTGAGCTTTTTTCTCTCCTGACTTCAAGTCCTGGAGGGGATTCAACCTCCTAGGAAACATTAAGGATCTTTCAACATCCAGGCTTTATGTGCTTCTTCCCAGAGACGTGGAGACGGGAGACATGAAAAAGGAGCATGTGATGGAGATGAACTGGAGATTATAATTGTAATGCAGAATTAAAGGGGCAAATGTCAACATGGGTGTCTGTTCCTCTCCCTTCCAGCACAGGTCAGACTGGGGGATTGCTCTTTTTGGCCATCTGGGGATTTTGGTGGCTTTTCCAAGGCAAAGTTGGAGGTGCTTGGGTAGCACTTGTCATGGTCTGGTTGGCTTTGCTGTCTTTGGTTTCTCCTTGTTCTGAGGTTTGTGGAGGCAACAGTAGAGGAAGAGACTCATGAGACATGTTCACCTCACCTACCTGTGGAAACACTGCTTGGAACATCCTTCAGAGTGTGAGAGATCATGGAATGACGGAATAATTGATGTTGGAAAAGACCTCTAAGATTGAGTCCAACTGTTCCCCAGCACTGCCAAGTCTACCACTAACCCATGTGCCACATCCACATGGATGTTAAATCCCTCCAGGGATGGTGATTCCACCAGTGCCCTGAACAGCCTATTCCAGGGTTTGACCATCCACCATCATCAGGCCAAGCTCTGATGCAGAAAGGTCTGAACATCTCCAAAGGAACTTGGGGGAGTCTCCACAAGCAGCCCTGAAATCTCATCTGTTCATCAAATTCCAAGAAATTTCTGCTTTCAGCAGGAAAAAATGAAAATATGTTGCTCTAACTACATAAAATGTAAATTTTCCTGTGAGCACAGATCAAACCACAAGAAATAATGACAACACAGACTGTGCTGATGGAACCTTTGATCAGTCAAAAGGTAAAACACTGATTCTGGGAAAAATCTGAACTGACTTGCCTCAGCTTCTTGCTAGAACGTGTTTGTTTTGGAGATTCACAATTTCATTTGAAATAAGTGGGGAAAAAACTATCAGGATCAAATAGGAAATAATAAAATGCTCAAGGTTATAACTTTACCTTCCTTCCAGCTAAGTCCTGGGGCTGTCCTTGGTGGCACCAGAGTTTGACCTGTGTGGATAAAAGGATGCTGAAGAGAGGTCCCTGCTGGCACCACAGGAGGTGAGGGAGGAAAGGGTGGGTTGTTTTCCTTGGGAATTAAAGGGTCTTTGTGTCTGAGTTTGCACGGATCGTGGTGGTGCTCAGTTGATACACCTCTCTAGCTTTGGTGTAGTGTTTCAGAGATCCCAACACAGGCTGCAAAGGACAACCAACACCATTACCAGTTTCTACAGGCTGTGGGAGAGACCACATGGTCTCATTGTCCATCGTGTCCAGGAATTTTTCAGATCCTGAAGGTGATGAGCACGTGCTTGGGGCTGTACCAAGAAATCATGGAATCATCACAGAGCGGTCTGGGTTGGAAGGGACCTTAAAGATCATCCAGTTCCAACCCCCTGCCATGGGCAGGGACATCTTCCACTGTCCCAGGTTGCTCAGAACTCCATCCAACCTGTCCTTGAAAAGGAACACCCATCAGGAGTGGGATGGTCATTGCACGGAGAGACATTTCAACCCTGTGAACTCAATTCCTCTTCCACAACCCAGGAATTTGGAAGATGTTTGACTGGGCACAAGGCAACCCGTGAGGAGCCAAGGCTGGGCACCAGCAATGCTCTGCCTCGGCCATGCAGGGGTTTCTCTGCCAATGGGACCCAGAATTGCTGAGGACACCTTCCAAATGGCAAACAGCACTAACTGGGAATGTGCATTAGCATAAATACAGCAATGCCAAACACAGCTGACTCAAAACACACCCAGAAATGTGGAAGTGTGCATTAATCCCTTTTTTTTTTTTAAATTTTAAATGCACAAGTGCCCACTTTGCATTTTAATTTTGTGCAATTGCAGGGTGATCTCCGAAAATGCAAAGCCTTGTCTTTGCTGAGCTCCTTCAAGAGTTGCCAAAGCTCCCCCGTCAGCCGTGTCCAGCTTTGAGGTGGAGATCACGAGGATTCTCCTTGTCCCTTCAGACAGGTTGAACCAGAACTGCATGTTAGTTAAATGGTGACTGATTGAAATTACACTAATTGATGATTTAGGTGATAGATATGTTGTGATTTGTATTTCATTAACCCTTTTATGCTTAATGCAAAGAGCTCATCTCACTGCAGCTGTGAAGCACGGGATAACTGAGATGGGTGTGTTATGGAAAAAGAGTGGATGTGCTGGGATGGGTTGGGCTGGGAGAGGGTTAATATGTGTAGGAATGGGATGAGTGGAGGTGTAGGGAGAGTTGACCACAAGCACCTGCATGGGAACCTATTGCAGGATCCGGGAGTGCTTCCAGTGGAGGTGGCAGCACAACATGGAAGGGTGAGTTCAGTGCCCATGGAGGGGCAGTGTGTGTTTATTCCTGCAGAATCACAGGGCTGTGGCTGAGTTGTGACCTGTCCCACCTTTCCTTTCTCCCTGTGTCAGTCTGGGGACTTCTCTGGGCCGGGATCTCACTCCTGGATCCTATGGTGTGCCTCATGCTCACATTCAGGTCAAACAAACAGCAGCTCTGCCCCTGTGACACTGAGGAAGAGAGGTCTGATGTGCTGTTTAACAGCTACCTCTGCTATATTTAAGTAAAAACAATGCAGAGGATAGAAGAAATTATTATAATTTGTCTGTTGTGCCTATAGAAGAAGATTGAGTATATCCATCAGTCCATAGGCCTCAGCAGTTGGGTACAAGTGTAGTCAAAATTATACCCAACTCTCTCCAGGTCCCATAACCAGTGTGAGGTTGCTATAAGATACCCATATGATCACAGGTAACTTTAAATATTAAATTGATTTGGAAGTTAATTTGGCAATACAAATTCCCATAGGATAGGGAAGTCAACATCTTCATCCCTCCCCCTGTTTAGAACAGGTCGTGACTGAGGCTGAGGTTAGAAAATCAAAACTTGATTTTCAGTTGCATTTGAATTTCCTCCCCCAGCCTCCTGGCATGTCACAGGAATATAGTTATTGCCCTACAGAAATTATAATTTTCCTAGTCTGGCATCCCATTCCTGGCAGTGATCTACAGCAGATGCTCCAGCAGGAGCCAAAAACGTTAGGAACCAAATGGCAATGAAATTCCATTCAGGAATGTCCTCGTCCCCAGGAGACACTTCTCCCACAGCAGGCTGAGGTGGTGGCAGGGGAATGGGTGCTGTATAGGCCACTCTTCCATGGCAGGAGAGGGAACATCATCCTACAGCTGCACAGTAAGACATCCCAGGTGCATTGTTGTGTCCACCTGGTTGGTGCAGCTCGATGTGGACCTGCCTGGTGGAGAGGTGTTTGCATTGGTTGAGTGCATCTCTTCCAAGAGGGCCAGGATATTTAGGATATCACCAGTATTTCAGGGTTATTCTTGGATCTCTGGGGTTACTCTGTGTGAAAGGTGTATTTTGTTCAGAGGAGGAAGGAGAAGCACGTTCCAGAAGTGCCACTTCTACTACACTTGTGAGGACACAGCTGGAGGTGTCTCACAGCAAAGGCTGAGGACACTGAGGGCTCCAGGGTGTGGTGTGGTTGTTTTAGTTCATCTCTGCTCACATCAGGCTCATCTTCTGCTAATCTGTGCAGAAAGACTGTTAAAAACTCCCTGGTGTCCTGGGAGTTGAGCACCGTGACTGAGGGCTCCCTGCTCCTCTCCTCTGACACGAGCAGCCATGTGTTCCCTTGGAACCCTTCCTGCTCTGCCTCCAGAGCGATTTGTCATGATCCCTAATGCCACAGCTGTTTGGTTCCACCAGGTCATCTGCTTTTCTTAGTCCTGTTCCACCACCCACTGAAACTCATACCAGCCAGGAGATCATCCCCTATGGCCAAAAATAGCACTCCTCTCGCCCCTCTCTTCCAGCCACCCGGGAAAAATCAGGGTTTTTCTTCTTTTCTGATCCCCCCTTCCCTCGTGGTGCCCCATGAAGGTTGGCATAGCTGCCCTGGCAGCCGGGATCCTCGGCGGCACCGGCGTCTTGCTCTTCCTCGTCGCCTTTGGGACGGATTATTGGCTCCTGGCTACGGAGACCTGCAGCGTCTTCGAGCATGAGAACAGCACTCTGAGCACCGGGGAGGTGAGCTCTGGAATCTTGTCTTACCCTGGAACAATTAACTTCTGTAAATAATTTAAAATTTTTAAGTCCGTGACAATATTTTTTGCTCCAAGTGACCTGTTAATGTAAAACGTCAGCCCGAGCTAAAACTTTCAACTTTTTAAAATGCAAACAGGCTTTTCCATGGCATTGAGCATTTTGACTGAAGTAAAGTGTGTCTAGGAAACATTAAGACAGCACAGCACCTCTGTAATCTGGCAGATATGAACATTAAGGAATGAAAGGCAAAAATGTAAGAGCTTTAGTTGTTGACAGCATTTCCTTCTAAAGACAAAAGATATCTGCTGATATTTGCCATTAAAAGATTTCTCTCTCTGTAGTTTCTTCATTTAAAACTAGTTCATATTTAAAAGTGTGGGGCTTGGGAATCACTTACACCTGAAGTGATACAACTGCAGCAGAGACAGAAAACAAAAGTGAACATCAAATGCACAGCAGTGTTGACAAGTTCCTGCCCAACTAACAAGAGGAGACCTGTATATTTTCAAATTAAGGTTTATTGAGGATTTTAGTTAGTGGGAAGTGTAGTTTCTGAAGGACAGTTTGGTGTTTTAGTGCCAAGGACTGATGTCACTCGTTCACAGATTCTTTCTAAAGGTGGATTTTCGCTGCACTTGCTGTTGTCTGACTCCTCAATGAAATAACAACCAGCTCAGTTCCTCGAGCCACCTACTCCTCCAAAATGTTTTTGTGCTGATCAATGTGTGGCTTCAATTACAAAATGACAGGAAAAGCCTTGTTGTGTGCAGTCTTTTTGTTACTTCAAAGTTCAATCCAATTAGGTTTGATTTTTTTCCCTCGTGTGGTGACTCACCCTGGGTGAGCATCATGATGCCAGCAAGAAATATTTTCCTTTCATTTCAGAATCCCACAATCAAACGTGGGGCACTGTTTGCTTGAGTCATGGTTCCAAATGACTTTCTCTGTTGAGAAAAAAAACATTATGATGGAAAAAACTGCTTGAAGAAGTGAAACAGGGATGGGGTCTTTAGCATTTCAAGCAGCACAGTAAAGCTCTGGAGATGGCAGAGTTGTGGACAGAGAAGTGCTGCTGTTTTTGAGCACTTGGGAAGTGACAATGTTAATTGTTTCCCATTTTTGTTGTCCTTTAAAGTGGAGAGAGCAGAGATGGTTCAGTGCACGCCGTGAATAAGCATCTCAAACATTTCAGATGCGCTCTTGGCCAAGTGTTGCTGTGCCTGTCACTGAAGCAGAGCAACTTCAAAGGCACCAGGCAGAAATAGGAGCTGCTCTTACTCTTCCCTCTGAGCTATTTTATTTCTATTTCAGACACTGTTTCTATTATTTCTATTTTTGTTACTCTGTTTTTACCTTCTCTGTCCTTTCTTAAACCGTCGAATGCTGTTCCTCACAGATAAGGCTGGGCTGAGTGGCTGACAAACAGTGGAATTGCTGTGGATGCACCAAGTCAGCAGCCACCCAGCTGAGGGGGTTTCAGGGATGAATGTTACCCTTGTCACAGTCAGTGTTTTATCCTGAAAGGAAAAGGAGAATCAGGTCAGAGCTCTGGAATCTGTCATAATTGAGGTGAGGGAAGTATAAGGTCTCCAGGGGGACCTTAGAGCCCCTTCTGGTGCCTAAAGGGGCTCCAGGAGAGCTGGAGAGGGACCTTGGACAAGGGTCTGGAGGGGCAGGACAAAGAAGAATGGCTTCCCACTGCCAGAGGGCAGGGTTGGATGAATATTGGGAAGGAATTCTTGGCTGTGAGGGTGGGGAGGCTCTGGCACAGGTTGGCCAGAGAAGCTGTGGCTGCCCCTGGATCCCTGGAAGTGTCCAAGGCCAGGTTGGACGGGGCTTGGAGCAACCTGGGCTAGCGGAAGGTGTCCCTGCCCATGGCAGGGGTTGGCCTTTAAGGTCCTTTCCAAGCCAAACCATTCTATGATATGATAAGTTCCTTCCAGCACCTCCCTGTTGAGTCCCATCTCCTTTCTCTGGTTCACAGGGTCAATTCCCATGTGGACATTCCCCACCCTCCACAAAACATAGTTCTGTTACAGTCATGTTTCCTTTACCACACTGTATGTGATAAAGATAAAATTGATTTTGGCTGTAGTTTTAACAATTTTTTGATAAATAATCCTCAGCTAAACTTTGCAGTATCTTCCCCTCTGGAAAGATCGAAACCTTGTGCTCACAGGTCTGGTCTGGGGGTTGAAGGAAGGGGTTTAAGAAGTAGAACACACCCAGATGCTCAGCTCCCTGCCATACCCATCCAGCCCTGGCCATCAGTGGTTGAAGGATATTAAAGAAGAAGCTGGTTTGTGCAGGTCTGGATTTTGGATAATTTGTTATCAGAACCTTTTGGAGCTGTGATACAGAAAGTCAAGAACAGCAGCTGCCTCCTTGTTCCCCGAAACCAACTCAAACAACAAATGAAAACTCCGTCAGAAAATGAAAGCAACACCTGCCCAAGCAAAAAAATACACACTTTGTACCCTGCTCTTCCCTGTGTCAGCTGGACTTTCATTCCTCCACAGGCTGAAATGCCAACGGAGACCGGGAAGGAAATCCTCACGTTCCACCACGAGGGCTTCTTCTGGAGGTGCTGGTTCTTTGGTGAGGGCCACCCAGAGACCATCTGGACCTTCTGGTACAGTGAGTACGATGCCACCACCCCGTACCCACAGCATTTGCTCATGATTTGAGTGGGAGACGATCGCAAGGAGGGCTCCCAGGGATGCTGAGGTGGTTTTATTTCGTGGTTTTCATTCTCAGTGTCTCCCTCCCCAAAGCAAACCTGGCTCACCCTTTCTGTGCCCTTTCTGTGCTCTTTTTTAAACTTGGATTTTACTCTCAGAGGGCTGTTCACAGAAATGCAGAAACATTTTTGGGCCATTTAATAAATAATTTTCAAAGTCTTATGAAGTGGTGGCTTCATAACCCACCTCACATACCTCCACAACCCTTCCTCACATACTTCTTGATGTTTGTGTTCAGCTAAATTTGCTAAACTTGAGCCCATGCCCTTCCTGGTCTTCTGTTTTCCACCCTATTTTCCACCATCAGGGTGCTGAGCATTCCCACCTCCCACTGATTTCAGCACAGGGGAGGCTGGACATGCACATGTGTGGTGTCTGCATGCTCAGGACCAGTGGTGGACCATGGAGGGCCATAAACACATGTGTTTATGCTCTTTATTTTAAGACCTTTTCTGCTTTGCTTTTTTAAGGTCACTGAAATTACACGTGAGAATAAACAGAGAGGGATATCAAATAATTATTTTTTTTTTCTGAAAGCACATTTACTCTTCAAAAAAAAAAATACTGAAGGAGAAGGTGAAACCTGTTCTGAGACCCCAGCTGCTGCTGACTGGTGGCCCTTGTGCAGTGAAGGGTGTTGGATTTAAACACCACTAAAACCTTGACCCTGTGCCCGCTGGGGCTTCGATCCTCTCGGAGGTGCTCACGTGGTTGTGGAGCAGCACAGTGGCCTCGCAGGGCTGCAAATAATGCAGGTTCCCACAATAAATCTACTCTGCAGTGATTAAAATTTCAAATGACTTTGCTGTCTCCCCCAGTCCCTGACCTGTTCCCTGTAAAATCTTGCAGGAATAGTCACTGCCACCGTTCAACTGAGCCGCGTGAGGTTTTTCACGCAAAGTTTTTGATAAGGAAAGGACAGGCTGGAGAGAGGGAGTTTGCTATCAAATCACATTGTATAAAAATACATAATGTAATGTCACCTGAAGTGAAATGACTCACTCTGATAACTGGCAAATTTGTGCTGCTTCTTTATGTATTTATTATAATAGGATTGATCATGGCAAATTAATTTGCTGCTCTCGTGGATGTAATAATTAATTCAATAGGTATTCCATAGTCAATTTAGCATGAACTAATGTCCACCTATTATAAAGTGTTCCTTTGAGCTGGGGAACATATTTAAATAAGTGGCCAACCATTAATTAATTCATTTAACATTCATTCTATTACTGTTAATCATGATAAGCCTCAGTGGTATTAATATTGATGGGGCACTTCTGTTCTAATTGTGCTTTCCCTTCTCACCAACTGGAGATCTTGTAAGGAGCCTTGTTCTGGTACCCAAACACCTTTGCCACTTCCAGGTGTTCTGGCACATTCTCTGGAGGAAAACAACAACGGGAATATTTACACTGATTTCAGTTGTTCCACCTTTCATGATTTATGTCCACCTAAGATTCAGGTTATGAAAATGAGAAGATGTACCAGTCACAGACTCAGATCCTCTGATATCCCCCCTCTCTCACCATTTTTATTTTATTTATCTAACCAAGATTTACCCTCCTTTTTTCCTCCCCAGCCTTCTGATTTCAGTGAGGGTTTTGCAGGTTTTACATGTCCCCATGTGAGTGCTGTAACGGTGATTCTGCAGAAAACAAAAGCAAACAGGGATTTAATTAATTTTTTTACTCTTTTTCAGCCAGCCAAGCACATCCCAAGTTCTGCATGCATGGATACCTGTTCCCCATGCCCATTGCTCTTGGACCTTTGCCCCATCCCTCCTACGACACAACTGCAGGTGGGTTTTTGTCCTCCTCCCCCAGCAGCTCCTTTCCCAAGGGATTGGGTAGAGATTTGGGATGTGTGTCAGTCCCTTGTAAATGCCTGTGGCCAAGCATGGATTTTTGGAAGACTCCTTTATACACTGGCCTTGCTTAGTTAACTGCCCCAAACCGTGGGCACATCAAGATGTTCTCCCACATCTTCTCTGCTCCAGACCTGCCATTCCTGGCCATGAGCTGTGCACCCTCCCACTGTGTGCTCAGCACCTACTCCCATGAGCCAGGCAGGAGATTAAATCCACTCTGTCCCACCTCCTCACTCACTGGGAGGAGCTGGAGACAAAGGGCTTCATCCAGAAAACCCAAACTCATCCCAGTGCTGACTCAGTCCTAGAGTCAGGCTTCTTGGGAGAGCTCTGGTGTTGATTTATTGCAAGACAAAATAAACAAACACTGGAAAATCAGTTAAGGACCAAATTGTCAGAAGATCCCCATAAGTGACTGGCTTATGTTTAATACCCTGAACACGGCATGGTTGGAGAGCTGCCTTTCAACCAGCTCCCTTTTTATTTATGTTTCTCTATATTTTCCGAGTTCTTTAATGAATCAGCTGCTGTTAGGAATTTTAATTTGCTAAATTGGTGGCAGCAGCTAGAATTAATTCAATGATCTTTTTTGAAATGAATTGATTTCTTTAAATAGTGTGCATCAGTCTGCGCTGCCTCCGGGGATGCAGGGCAGACGTTCTGCACAAACAAACATCTTGACCTTTTCCTTAGCCTTTAGCAGTACCTTTTTTTATTTTTAGGTTTGTTTTTTTTTTTTTTTTTGTTATGAGAAATTAATTGGAAAAAAAAAGATTGTCAGTAGGAGAATGTGAGGGAGAGCAGCCAGTTTCTCTTGTTGTGCTGTGCAGAATTCCTGCCCCGGGGAACACGCCGTGGTGTCAAATGGATACGAGGGACCTGTGGATGGGAGGAGGTGGAGGAGCTGGGTGCAGGATGTGCAGCAAACACATGGATTAAGCAGTGGGATTTTTCCTGCTTAGGAGAGGCAGGAATGACGTCCAGTTTCTGAATGGTCTTGCTGATAAACGCACTTTTTTTCCGATCCTAAATAAAGGGCTGGAGGCATCTGCCCTTGTCTGTCAGCCCCTGCTATGAAACCCTGCCCAGCTGCCTCTCTTGGGACAGGTCCCAGGGAGATCCCGATGTTCATAGAGATCTTTTCCAACCTTAATGATTCCATGGAGGTGCTGGGGAGGGAGCTCTGCCTGCCACCCACCCCTGTGATCCCTGGGGACATGAGCAGGGTGTCTCAGCCCCCACATTTAGGACAGTGGGAGCACCGGGATCCTCCACTGCCCCAACTCCCTGCAAAGCCCCCGGGGGGGCTGCAGGGAGCAGTTAACACTCCTTTCATTTCTAACCAGTCCATCCTCATTTGCAAGTGCTGACAGACCAGGAGGCTGTCCAAGAAGAAGGGTCCTCCAGCTATTACCTGCTCCAGAGATAATTCTGCCTTATCTGCATCCTCTGAGGCTCCCTGAGAGAAATGGGTGACGGGAGGTTAAACATGAAAATGAATTCAGTGGTTTTGGAGAGTTCAAGATACTTATCTCTGCCTAAGTGGCTCTCCTGACAAAATGGTTTCAAATGAGGAAAACGCATCTCCTCGGTATCATTTTTCTTTCAAGTGTGAATCATTTCAGCATTACCCACTTGCTCGTGCTCGGCTTAAATCTCTCAGACTAGAGCTTCTGAAAAACAACAGGCGGAGCGAGGTGAGCTGGTCTGAGGGGATCAGATAAATCAAGGGAGCAGCGAGTGGGGCATCGGGGGGTCTTCTCTGCTGGAAGACACCACCTTTGGCTAAGGTTTATAGCAGTGACTGGAAGAGACTTGGCTGCAGGGGGACTGAAATAAGTGGACTAAATCCCACCCTGTCCCATCTTGTGGGGTGTGATGGACACAAGCTTGCTCAGCCCTGGGTGGGGTGGCTGCCTGAAGTCACAGCAAAACCCCCAAGCTCAGTGGATGAAGAGGCAGCTGTTCCCCTCTCCTGTTCTGCTCAGTCACAAAGGCCATTAATGGGGGAAATCAGGAGCTCCCATTTTCCCTGCAGTCCTGCCAACAAACGCTGCCCTTATTTTAAACCAGGAACCTGGCACCTTCCCTAAGCATTAATTAAAACAGAACAAAGCTCTGGGCTGATTCCACCTCTCCAAATTTTGCTCTTTTCTTTCCTTTCTTACCAAGCTTTTCCATCCCCCTCCAGGCCCAGCTGAGCACAGTGTCCTTTCCTCTCCCCCCTTTTGTGGCCTGCTTCCCTGGCAAACCCTCCCAGCCCCTTGTACTCATTCCAATTCCATTATGTAGGGCATGACATTCCCCCTGAACTTGCACCAGTTCCAGGCAAAGCAGGACCCTTGACTCTGCCTGACACGACACCATTGCAGGTGGTTGTTTCTGCTGTTGGTTAAACACAGAGTCATTAAGGTTGGAAAAGAAGTCCCAAGATCTTCAAGGATAGACTGAAGAAAGCCTCTTTTGCTGTTCTTTGCCTGACTTCCCTCCTGTTGTGCAGTGTACAGAGGGTTCTGGACGGCGTTCATCCTGCTGGCCGTGGCTGCTGCCCTGGTGGGGGGGCTCCTGCTGGTCTGTGGAATTCCCTTCGTCAGCCCCCGCTCCTACAAGGTGGGAGGTGGATTCCTGCTGCTCTCAGGTAAGGGCGTGGAATGCAGGGGAGGCAGGTGGGGATGAGGTGCTGCCTGGGGCTCTGGTGGGAGCTGCGCTGCTTGGAGTAAATGATTTCCCTCTTCCCCTTCCCTGGAATTAAACCCCTGTGAGCTCTGAGCCATATGAGTGGAAGGTGTCCCTGCCTATGGCAGGGGCTTGGAAAGAGATGGCCTTTAAGGTCCCTTCTAACCCAAACCATTCTGGAATTCCATTATTCTGTGCTCAGTCAGGCTTTAGCAAGATAGTCCTTCACAGAATCCCAGAATATGCCAAGCTGGAAGGGACCCACAAGGATCACCCAGTCCAACTCCTGGCCCTGCACAGGCCCATCCCCAAGAGTCACACCCTGTGCCTGAGGGATCATCCAAACCCTCCTGCAGCTCTGGCAGCCTTGGTGCTGTGCCCACTGCCCTGGGGAGCCTGGTCAGTGCCCAACCAGCCTCTGGGGGAAGAACCTTTTCCTGAGATCCAACCTAACCCTACTCTGACACAACTCCAGCCATTCCCTGGGTGCTGTCCCTGGTCCCCCCAGAGCAGAGCTCAGTTCCTGCCCCTCCTCTGCCCCTCCTCTACCCCTCCCGAGGAAGTTGTAGCTGCAATGGGGTCTCCCCTCCGTCTTCTCCAGGCTGAACTTAATCCTATCAAAGCTAAGATTTTTGAAAACTGCCTTTTTTTTTCTCCTACTCTTCTATGCAACCCAGACAGGCAGAGCCTTTTATTTGAGTAAAGCTGTGTTAAGCCTGTGCAGCATCAGCCCCACTCTGTTCCCTGAAGTCAGGCTTTGCATTTAGGCTGCTCCTGCCTCTGTTGTTAACATCTGGAAACCCACAGAGGGATGAAAGGCAAACCCTGCCATCCAAAATGGGAGGGCTGGCTTAAGGAGACCTGAAAAGATGAAGCGGTGGCACAGCAGGAAAATGAATTAAAAATAGGCATTTATTCATTACTCCCACTGCAGTTACAAATGATTCCATTGAATTATCACTTGGGCTTTTTCCTTTTCTGTATTTGAGAGGAATAACTGGCTTCACTACCAGGAACTCAAACTCAGAAAAAAGCTCTTTTGCCACTCAAGCAGCTCCAGGCTGGATCTCAGCTGAGCTGTGCCAAGTGAAGAACTTGGTAATGAAATCAGGCCTTTCTCTGAAAAACCACAGCTTAATTACAGATCCTCTACCGGGCTCTGCTTCCTCATATCTGGCATAAATCAAACATGAGGCAGTGTCTTTGCTCTCAGTTTAGGCTCTAAGTGTGCCCGAATTTGGGGAGAGCTGAAAACATTAATGAAAATATTTAATAAGAAAGGTCCCAACATTGATCTGTGTCCCCAGGTGCCACATCTAGCTGTCTTCTAAAGCCCTCCAGGGATGGGGACTCCACCACTGCCCTGGGCAGCTGTGCCAGGGCTGGACAGCCCTTTCCAGGAAGAAATTCCTCCTGATGTCCAACCCGAACCTCCCCTGGCACAGCTTGAGGCTGTTTCCCCTTGTCCTGTCCCTTTTTCCCTGGGAGCAGAGCCTGACGCCCCCCCGGCTCCCCCCTCCTGTCAGGGAGTTGCAGAGCCAGAAGGTCCCCCCTGAGCCTCCTTTTCTCCAGGCTGAGCCCCCCCAGCTCCCTCAGCTGCTCCTGGTGCTCCAGACCCTTCCCCAGCTCCGTTCCCTTCCCTGGACATGCTCCAGCCCCTCACTGTCTCTCTTGTCTGAGGGTCCCAGAAGTGCCCCCAGCACTGGAGATGCCCCAGCAGTGCCAGCACAGGGATGGGCACAGGGCCTGTGACACTATTCCTGATCCAAGCCAGGTGCCCTTGGCCTCTCGCCCACCCGGGCTTGTGTTCAGCCACTGTCAAGCACCCCCAGGTCCTTTTCCCCTGAGCAGATTTCCAGCCACTCTGCCCCAAACCTGTAGCTTTCCATGGGGCTGTTGTAACCCCATAATGGATAAAAATCCAAGGGTTGCACCAAAGCAGGAAACCTTCTCTTCCCATCCGTAACCCAGGCCCCAGGGAGGCAGCAGATGTCCCCAGGGTGTGTGTACACTCTGCATGTTGGGCAGAGATATCACAGAAAAGGGTGTCGAGTGAGACTGAAAATCTTTCTTTTTCTTTTTTTTCATTGTTTTTGCACTTTATTTGACTACTTCTTGATTAAAGGGCTGGGGCGTAGAATGTGACACTTTTTAAGAGAGCTGATTATGCATCACATAAACCTCTTGGCATTAGACAAAGATGCTGCTGTTAAAACTGAAGTTTGTATTAATGCAGCTTCAATGTGAACAGCAATCATTGTTATTAACAGTCGTTAGGGGAACGAGTTCAGCTGGAAGACACTTCCTGCTGTATTTTCAATCCAAATGAGAGCAGGAGGATGCAAGATGTTTTTCAGCAAAGTTTCCTTAGTGTTCCAGCTGTTCCTTTTATTTTGGGGGGGCTTATCCTGAACTCAGGCCTCTGGATCCTGCTTGGCCTTGGCTTCCTGATGGATTCAGCTTCCATCCCTCCGTGGCTATTTTCTCGTTATCCTTTCTAAAAATCCTTTGCATAATTGTGCTAAGCAGCAGGAACAATAGATTCACCACAGCTTCAGCTCCCCAGCCACCCCTTTTCCTGGGACAGCGGGACATGGAGGGAGGGATGATGCAGGAGAAAGCGCTTCTTGTCTTCTAATCATGGCCTGGGGGTCAGTGTTAATTAACCTCCCTTGCAGAAATGATCTCTCCTCGAGGAAGTGTGAAAATGCTGGCAATCTGCAGAGTGGGAAGGTGGGCTGGCAGTCGGGTGGCGAGATGGGGCACCATGTCAACCTCTCAGGGAATCCTTCGTAGGCAGCTCCATTCTGCCCACGAACTCCCTCCTTTTGGTGGAGGTTGTGACAACACAGCCATAGTTAACCACTGCAAAATGATGTAACTCTTCCCACCAAAAGGCTCTAAAGATATTGAAAACTCACTCCCAAGCATTCACGGATAACCAGCCTGACGTGGTCTTGAGGAGTCACGTGTGTCCCTCTGTGCCAGGGGAATCCAGTGCTAAAGGGTGAAGGTTGTTATTGTTCCATAAACCCTTTGGGTTTCCTCTCTGAGAAGCCTTTTTTTTGTCCTTTCAAGGGGACAAATGTGACTGTGTGCCAGCACTGTAACCAATGGACTGCTCCATGGGAGGTGTTTCTGGGAGCCCTTTCAAAGGGCCAGAACCACGTCCCTTGATTTCCTCTGCTGGGTGACTTGGGAAAGGCAGCCAGAGCCCATCTGGCATTTGCTGCTGCTGCATTTGCATGTCCACTGCCCCAGCTGGGCAGCTCTCCCTGCCAGCCTGCTCCCAAAACCTGGAATACACAAGTAAATAGCCAGTGTGCTGCTTCCCTTCCAGCATTTGCCACCCCGGCCTGAGCTTCAGCGCTTCCGAGGGGGAGGCAGATCCTGCCTGGTGAATAATTGTCCCCTTGTTTCAAAAGTCAGTTGGGAACATGATTAATTATCACTACAGTGTCACTGAGAGGGGTGGGTGCACTCTGTGCAGCAGCTTTTGAAAACTCTTTGAAATGCTGAGACAACTTTGCTTGTACTTCTTCCTTTTCTCTACCTTGTGCTCCTCAGTTTTGATTTCTTTTGGGCATTAGAAGTGAGGCCCTGGCACAGGGTGCCCAGAGAAGCTGTGACTGCCCCATCCCTGGAAGTGTTCAAGGCCAGGCTGGACAGGTCTTGCAGCAACCTGGTCTAGTGGGTGGCATCCCTGCTCGTGGTGGGACCAACTTGTTCTTCAATGTGACCCAACAGCATGAAAACAAGAGGCAGATTTCCCAGTCCTGTGAGTTAAAGTGCTGAAATTTTTGCTCAGATTATCCCAAATCCAGCAGCTCTTTGGCAGTCTGAGGCTCCCCACGTGCAGTAAAGGCTGACACTTCTGGAAGGGCAGCTGAAGGTCACCCCTCTATTTCCTCGTTATTAACATCCTTAAGAGGCAACTGGTGACAGAGGAGAACGAGTCAAAGTTCATTATTCTCATAATTAGCAGATTGCACAAAAGTTCAGTAGCTTCCACAGAATAAGAGTTAAAGATTGAGTTCACTCACCTGTCCCTACAATTAGCAGCTATAAAGGTGTCACAAGGAAATCAAGAGAGAGAAAGGAAAAGCTCGACTCCAATTTACCCACAGGGAAGATGCAGCTCTGGGAGGGGGGGATGGACCACCGGGGTCCCTTGTTCTGCAGCGTTCAAAGGAGACAGATTTAATACCCCACTTCAATTTGCTTGCAATTAGCCCCTCCCCAGAAGATGCCATTGACCTCATCAGCACCGAGATGGAGTTTCACAGTTAATTTTTTCCTGTACCATCCTGATGAACAGAGGCAGAGAAGGAGAGAGATCACCTGGGTAATTTTCCAGCAGTAGAAACCACAGGGATGCTGAGAGCATTGTAAGGATGGTTTGGTTTGATGAGGGCTTCACTTCCCCTTCCCCGAATCCAACATGCATCCTGTCTCACAGGTGTGGGTGCCGATGCCAGTCTCATTTTTAGGGCAGAAAAATTGCGTTTTCTTCAGTTTTTCATTTTGCTGCCCAAGGCAGGAGGGAATCTGTCTCTGCACATCAAAAGCTGGCAGGAAACAAAGATGACTTTCCAGAGCATCCAAGAAAGGAGGTGGTAAAGTGAGACCTGTTCAAAAGATGAAAAATCCAAAATAAAACAGCATTTTGAAACAAAAATGCCAAACACTTTAATAACATGGAGGTGAAAGCTCCTGGGTTTGTCGTTATGAGGAGTCTGCTGATGGCTGTGAGGGTGACAAATTTTAGGCAGTTTCATGAGTACTTGTGATTGCTCCAAACTGGCATTTTTAGCTGAGCAATTTTTGTTGAGCTGCCCTTTCTCTGTGCTCCCACCGTCCTTTGGCTACACCTGCCCTTCTGATTTTCTCTTCTTGCTGAGGACATGGTGCAAATCCCAGGGACTCTTTGTCACTCAGCTGTAATTATTCCAGGGAAGAAGGCTGCTTACTTTACAGTTTCTTGTCATTTTCCCAGAGTGTGAAAACATTCTTAATTTAGATGCCATGGCCGTGCCATCACCTCCAGTACCTGTTTAATAATAAATCCTTCCCTACCAAGGCCTGGCACTTCTCCTGGGGCAAGGGGAGGCACCAATCCCAATCCTTAGCTCCTGGCAAGGTTGGGGATGGGGCCACCGCTCGTGGGACTTTTCACACCCTCCTCGGTAAGAACTGGAAGGTTTTGATCTGATTACTTCAAAAAAAGGAGACTTACACCATCTAAATTGTCCTGGGACAAGTCAGCACAGAATTCTTGGTTATTTAAAGAAAACCAGGAGAATTCCAAAGTACTTTACCAGGCCACGTTCTCTCTCCCACTGGGGCTACGGTTTCATTTGTGTCTCTTACCATAGGTATTATAAGTTAATGAAATAGAAATTGATCTTTAAAAGAGCACTTTTCAAGGTTCAGTTGCTATCTAATTAATTTAATTTTAAATTACATCGGTAATAAAGACTTAATTGCCTTCTTATCAATACATTGTATTTTGTAAAGGACATGCGACTATTTAAACACACGATGGTTTTCTTACAGTAGAATAATTGGTATTTTAAGCATACAACTATCATGGTAAGTGTAAAATATTTATTTGTGCACTTAATTTCAAGTGGTATCAAAACCTCAATGAACATGCAAATGTTCCAGCAGCTGCTGTTTAACTCCTCGCCTGCCTCTCCAGAGAACACAAGGACTTCTCCACATCAGGGAAAACCACTTGAAATGACAGTGTAGGGCGAGGTAAAGAATATTCATAGGGTTAGGCTGATTTTTTTGTTGATAAGATTCCATTTTTCAGGGCATGGAAGGCAGTGTAATGGATGTGACAGTTTAGGATGGGTAGCTTCAACTTCTGTATAACTCGTAGTGAGCACTTTGAACCTTCTTACCTTCCTGCAAATCTCATTTTTGGCTGTTTATATCCATTTTAAACAGAATCACAGTAAAACACTGGCATGTTTTCTCTGACTGAGGATTCAGTAATCACTCAGCAGATAAATCAACATCAGGCTTTACCCCCTTCCTTTCCTTAGCAAAAGAGTTGGATTTTGGAGTGTCTAAGCTGCCAGGGAGAATAATGAAATATGCTACAACTACCTTTGATTTAAAAATGGCAAGGGGAGAAATTAAATCCTGCAGAAGCCACAACACATCCACGGAGCTGTGTGGTAACTTGTCAACTGAATTAATTTCGAGCTGTTCACTTCTACCATAAAAATATTATAAGCTGTGATGTATTTCTTTCATATGTGTGTGTGTGTATCTATATGTTATACAGCACCTTTTAAAAATAACAGCTTCTGGCTGTGAAGTACCAAGATCAGATATTACTGAAGGGCTTTCAGACCTGTCATCACACCATCACTACTGAGTGCAGTTTAAATTCAACACATATTAAAACTAGTATATATTTTTAATTATATGCAGTAAATAGTATTTGGGCCACTCTAGTTTTTGTCATCTGCTTCATATGGGGGAAACTAAACCTCCAGCACTTGGATTATGGGGAAAGGAGGTTCCTATTAAGGCGCTGAAGGCCCCAGGTCCAGGAGGTGCCTGTTCACCACGTGCTTTTCAGATGTGACCAAGCTCTTCCCGCTGACCTTCGACGGGAATGCAGCTGGAAATATGAGATGGGGAGGTCTCCTGGGAGACCTGTTTGGGTCATGGGCGTCCTGCGAGGCCAGGGAGGCTCCAAGGAGAGCAGACCCCTCCAGGAGAGATGCTGACCTTGCCCTCACTGCTCAGGCTTTGTGTGGCCTCAGCTTTCCTCTGTCTGGCTCCAGGAGGGCCAGGAGGTCTCACTCGCCCATGTGAAGTCTTTGTGGCCTCCTGGTAAAAGCTGCTTATTGTTTTTTTTATTACTCTGTTATTTTGTAGCCCATCTAAGATTGGTATCTCAGGGTTACATGCCTTTCCCACCTTATTATGTGTTATTTCCTTGCAAAATAGAGTCATCTGTGTCTGCTGAGGGTGGCAGGTTCAGTTGCCATCAGCAGGAACTGATTCCCATATCCTTGCATTTCGAAATTGGAAGTTGGATCTGACACTGCTTGGAAGGGTAGGTATGAAAAAGGAAAAAGTGAGTCTTGGTGTCTCCTCATTCATCTCAGAGAAATTCAAAGGGCAAAAAGGCACTGTTGGGAGAGGAATTCAGGTCCCTGCTGAGAACATGAGTGGTGTTCACAATGGCTCCTCGTGCCCATCTCCAGCTGTAGCAGAGCCTGGTTGTTAAAGCACAAGGTGTCAGTGGGCAGGAACTGGTCACAGTGTGGGTCTCCTCCAGGACAAGAGGTCTTGGCTTCCACAGGAACCTGCAGAGCAACATCATGGATAACAATTCTGCCACAGTAAGCTTTGGCTGAAGGACCTGCAGGGATAACTGGAGATCTGTTGAGATCTCTTCTTACTTTTACTCCCGTGTTCCACGTGCAGACAATAACTCATCTCTGTCTCTCTTTCCAGGGGGTTTATTTCTCCTGCTGGTGTTTCTCTTCGTGATGTGGAAGGAGTTTGCTGCTGACTTCCAGAAGTACATCCTGCTGGAGAGGAGCGAGAGGTGCCTGGACGACGTCCCCGTGCACGTCTACTACGGGTGGTCGTTCATGTTCGCCGCAGCCGGGGTGCCCCTGGTCCTGCTGGCTGGACTCCTCTTCTTCCTGGTGGGCAGAGACATTATGGAGTCCCTGGAGTAAGACAAGTTTGGAGAAGGCTTTGGTGATGTAAAGAAACAGGCACAAGTTTTTGAGGACTAGATCGTTTTTGTAGTTATAATTGTCGGGGTAAATTACGTTCACTCTTACGTGGAGGCAGGGCTGGAGCACTGAGCATCCATAGAATGGTTTGGGTGGGGAGGGACTTTAAATCCATCTCATTCCACCCCCTGCCATGGGCAGGGACGCCTTCCACTAGCCCAGGTTGCTCCAAGCCCCGTCCAACCTGGCCTTGGACACTTCCAGGGATCCAGGGGCAACCACAGCTTCTCTGGGCAACCTGTGCCAGGGCCTCCCCACCCTCACAGCCAGGAATTGCTTCCCAATATCCCGTCTAACCCTGCCCTCTGGCAGTGGGAAGCCATTCCTCTTTGTCCTGTCCCTCCAGACTCTTGTCCAAGGTCCCTCTCCAGCTCTCCTGAAGCCCCTTTAGGCCCTGGAAGGAGCTCTGAGGTCTCTGTGGATCCTTCTCTCCAGGTGAACACCCCCAGCTCTCCCAGCCTCGCTCCACTACAGAGCTGTCCCAAAACCAGCCCCAGGTGCAAACCCAGCTTCGGCATTTTTACACTTTGGAGAACTTTAGGGATGTCTGTGGGCTTTGTGTGAGATTTCTGTGCAGCCCAAGGAAAAGCAGCTCCGTGGATTGTCAGCAGAGCCCCACATCCATATTCAGCAGAGCCGGAGTTTTATGGCATTCCCAGCATCCTTGTTTCTTGTAAAAGGTAATCGAATCTGGCTGCAAGGGGGACATTCTAATGTCTGTTTCTGAAAAGCAATTAAGGATGATTTTTTTTCCTTAGCTGGCTCTAATTGACGTCAAAGGACAACCTTTTTAATGGGATGTCGGGAAACACGAGAAACTTTTTTTCCTTAAAAGCCCTGATTCTGAAGATACAAATTTACCTGGACCTAACCTAACTTTCAGTAAGGGAATAAACCAATTTCTGTGGCATGAAACTTAACCTGAATTAATTAGTATTTCTTTACAGCAATGTGTTACTCCACATTTAATATTCTCCCTGGACACAGTGTTGTGGGGATCCACATCCCAAAACCTGAAAGATGGTCAGGGTTGAGGGAAAAGGAGGGGGAACAATGAAACCGTGGGTTATGCCTGTGCCCCATCAGTTCTTATAGTTTCTCACTATAAATTTCCTTTGAATAATATTTGTCGTTACCTTGAATTTAATATTTTCCCTGCAGGTTTGTGAGGTTTCTCAACCCAAAACCAGAAGGATGGCCAGAGTTGAGGGAAAAGGAGGGGGAAACAATAGCATGATATCGTGGTATCTCCTTGGGTTGTCTGTGCCCCATCACTTCTTCAAGTGATAATTTGTCACTATAAATTCCCTTGGAATAATTTTTGTCGTTACTCTGAATTTAATATTTTCCCTGGACACAGTTTTGTGAGGTTTCTCAACCCTAAACCAGAAGGATGGTCAGAGCTGGGGGGAAAGGGGAAGGGGACAATAGCCCTGGTATGTTTTCTTTGCTTGATTGTGGTCAGCCCTGTCAGCCAGCTCAGCGTGGGACCTTGTATTCTACGGACTCTGCACAGGAGTCAACTCCACAAGGACAATTTCCATATAATTTAGATATATTTAAATTCTTCCAATCACTCAGGTGTCCCTTGTCTGACATGGCAGTGTCAGAATAGCAAAGCATCCCTAATTCTACACCAAACCATCCAGGTGCTGGGGGGGGATATAATTTACACTGAATATGCGGGGCTTTGGAAAGACACTTGAGAGATGACAAAGATTTGATCTTGTCATGTTTTTCGGGCTGGATGGTGATGCTTTGAAGTAGTTTGTGGGGTCTTTGCTTGCTGAGCTCGTTTGCATAAATTTTAAATCAAACTTCCTCCAAATGTGTGCAGTTCTCCTGAATGTCAGAGTTTGTGCTAAACATACATCTCCTGAGCTTTATGTCATGCTATTGACTCAGTACAGTTAATTAATAATGGAATGTAAATCTCTTCTAGAAGATTGTTGGCAGTATAAAACTGTTTGTTAATGCTCTTCCTAAAATATTATTCAAGTCTGGCATTTCTTTCCTTTTGGAGCAAGTTCTAATTATTCTTTTACAAGATTCATGGCATACATAGAGTGAGAAATTGTAATTCCCACATGGAAAGATTAGTTCTTTCATATGAATAACTGGCTTGGTCTCCAGTTCTTAAGCAATATTCACACTGTTTTCCCTTCATAGAAATTTTGTTTGAATAGAATTGGGTTATGCAGGTAAAAATCATGTTTTTTTCCAGGAAATGGATGTTTTCATGACGTTTATAAATACACAGATATTTCAGTGTTTTATTTGGCCATTCTAAACTGTTTTTTTTTCCTGGTATCTCCTTGGGTTATGCCTGTGCCCTATCAGTTCTTCAAGGGATAATTTCTCACTATAAATTCCCTTTGAATAATTTTTGTCATTTAATTATCTATTCAATGTGGAGACGAACACTTATGGTCACAAAGAATAAAAGTATATAATCCAGGAGCAGAGGAGGTCAAGATTTACAGTCACTTGCCTTTCCTTGATCCCATAAAACAATCCAAGCATGCAGAAATGATGATCCCATAAGAGACACCAGGGCAGAAGAATGGGAATGCAGCAAGAAATCCATCAGACTTATTGGTATCTGTGAAGCTGAGCATCCCTGAAGTTGTGAATATAGAAGTGAGTTTTATATTATAGAATGAAATATTTATTAACTTTCTCCATCTGTTCTTTAAAAAATTTAGTTTAATGTCATCAAGGCATTTATGGAATACATTGAGCTGAATCATGCAGTCATGCCTTAGGGAGGAAACCATCCCTGGAGACCTGCTTTTTCTGGATCAGCTCTAGAACCAGCAGTAGTTTAAAACTCCATCACTCTTTGGAAACACAGGTGGCTTGGAATCAGTCTTAAACAGAGGGTGTTTTGTTTTAAATATCTCAGGTATTGAGCACAGTCTCCCCAGTAATCATCTGGTATTGAGCTTTTGGGTAACCCCATCAAATTCCTCTATTTCCCATAGGTTTGGCAAATCTCCCAGTGTTAGATGTAGAGATACATCTAATAGTCACAACAATAAGAGAGAATGATATTATTGAGCTGCATAACTGAAGAATTGACTCCTCTATTAAAACTCCACGTTTGTAGCCAGCACAAGGTTAACCAAACACACCTTTTTGGTGGAATAAAGAGTCCCCTTTGCTCTCAGGTTTCTTGTGACGAGCAGAGCTCAAGCAGACAACATTTTGTGCGAGAATCATCATTTCTGCAGGAGAAATTTCAAACCCCAACCTAACGAGCTCAGTGGTGAGGCCTGAAATTGCAGAAACCACGTTTTTGCTTTCATCTGTTGCGTGTGAGGAAGTTTGATGAAAGGATATTATAGAGTAGTGACAAGGACCTAATTCTGATCCAAGTTTTGTCATTATAAATCACGAGTAATTCCAAAGATGCAGCAGACCCTTATCACTGTTAAACATCTGTAAGTCAGATCAGAACCGGGACTAATAAATACATTCAAAGATGCATAATTAAAACAGTGATTTCACATCACTCTGATGAATTTTAGTCAAGGATTTCTTCAAGGATGCTTTTCTCAGATTAGCATTTGATGTTAGTAAGCAATGAATAATTCCATTTTTTCTTTCCAACATCTGGGACACTTCCTGCTTTATTTGCTACTTACTGAACACTCTGCAGGAAATATTAATGAATCTTGGGTGTTGAAATGCAGGCCCTGTGATCGTGCTCAGGAGGCAGAGTTACGTAGGAGAGATGATATGTCTTGAGATTAAGAGGCTGGATTTTGGTGAAGTTGGATATTGGGAGAGTTGCCAAACCTGAGGGAGAGATACAGGGATTTGAGGAGGTTACCCAAAAGTCAAGTCCCTGTAGCTCCTTCTTTCATAGCAGGGAGATTTTCCCTCATACCTGGTAGACAATGATCAGTAATAAAAATTTTGCTGTTGGTCAGATCAGTTCTTTTACCAGAAAACTGACACCCAAGGACTCCCTGAGGCTGGGAAGGTGTTGGTGCCTGGGACCATCTGACCCAAGGAGACCTGGACCAGGAGACCAGCACTCCATGAGAGCATCACTGCCATGCCCAGCTGCTTGCTCACACCCCCAGAGGCCTGGAGCGTTTTCCCTTTCTTGGTAAATTATAAAATTCTGTGTTTGGAGAGCTCTGTTGGCTCTTCAGAGAAACCCGCACGGACCTGAGCTAAGAACCAGAGGCAGAAGAGCTTCCAAAGGAGGAAAGAAATGTCCTTCTGTATTAGTGTGGAGTGACTTTGGCAGTTCAGATCTGACCAAGAGGGTGAAAACACCCCCTGCCATGGAAAACAGGTTGA